ACTCCATTTCTCCATGACTCCATGGTCTCAAGAAAGTTACTGACGTCGGAAAACTTACAAAATAAATATTTGTTAAAGACAGTTTGCCTTAACTTTGAGATACATCATTTGCTCTTCGGTAATGCGCTTTTATTTTTTAGAACTAAATATTTAGACAGAAAGTCACAACTAATGTTCGTGTGAGGCACTGATCAATCATCTGTTTTTTTGTAATGTTTTTCATTTAATTTTGTGTACCTACTATTAGCAACTTGGTACGTGACCCACTCAAACAAAGCAGCAATAAGTTCCTACAGTGACAGCTCGTGAATGCAAATTAAGGAAGACATACAGTTAATAATAATAATAATAATTTATTAACGGAAATCCATTTACAAAATATATATATAACGGCACAAGCATAATAAAAAAAATAATAATAATTTTTACTTAACACTTAAAATTATTATATTCATTAGAAAATACTAAATTAAAAACTTTGCTATTTTAAAATTAATCTTAAATTCTTCTTAAACACTTGTTTTGGACTATCAAATAAATTAAATGTTTCATGTTTACAAAGATCATTTACAACCTAACATCATTCTCCTCAAGGGGTGATTACGAGCTAAATTTGTGGCGAACGAACTAATTCTAAAAATTTGCTTGCTTCTGGTGTTTCTAATTTCCGGAGGGCTAATAAGGAAGGATAATTTCTCCAGAATGGCGCTATTATCAATGGAACTATTGATGACCCCATGAAGAAATGTTAAATCACTAGTTAGTCTACGTGTATGTAAAGTTTGCATGTTGAGGAAATTAAGAATAGTTGAGTATTTTTTTGGACTTTTTCGAGAGCAGCAGCATCGACATCGAATATTGGATACCAAACGGATGAAGCATATTCTAAATGAGGTCGAACTAAAGAGCAATAGAGGATTCAATACAGCAGGAGATAAATCTTTACAGTTTCTCCATAAAAATCCCTACAGTTTGAAAGCTTTAGTTATAACAGTAAGGTAATGATTCTTGAAAGATAATGACGAGTCGAATAATACACCAAGATTTTTAACTTCATTAACATAATCGATAACAGTTTTATGCAGTACATAATCGAAATGTATTATGGACTTCTTATTACAAAATGAAATAGAATGGCATTTGATAGTATTTAAGTGCAATTCATTAAGTGTACACCATGAACAAAATGCATCCAAATTAGATTGAACAAGAAATGTGTTGAATAGATCTCTAATGCAACTAAAAAGTTTTAAATCATCAACAAAAAATAGAAAATTACAATGATGAAATACTTGCGATAGGTCATTTATAAATAACAAAAACAAAAGAGGACCACAGTGCGAACCTTGTGGCACTCCTGACGTTACTTGAAAAGGCTCCGATAGAAAATTACCTAACCTTACCTGTTGCCATCTATCACATCAAAACGATCTCAGCCAGATAATCGTTTCCCGTCTAAATCCCAAATGGGACAGTTTTAATAATAAGATCCTCTGATTAACTTTATCGAATGCTTTCGAAAAATCGGTATATATTGCATCCACTTGACATCTATTCCCAAAGGATTCGTTAAGATAAGAATAGTATTGAATTAAGTTGGTCAATGATGATCTCTTAGGACGGAATCCATGTTGCTTTTCAGTCAAAATAGAAGAACTCATCCATGATCGCTGTTTAGATACAATTAGATTAAAAATTTTTGGCAATATCATTTGATTACACACCCCACGATAACTATCAACTTGATTACGTTGGCCTGCTTTGTATATAGGGACAATATAACTAATTTTCCATTCATCTGGAAACTTCAAATCAATCAATGACAACTTGAATAAGTTACATATGGGAGGAGACAACGTAAATATGCACTTCTTTATAAACAGGCTTGGAATACCATCTGGGCCAGGATTGCATGATACTTTCAGATTCAAAATACTGTCAAAGACATCAGTAGTAGAGACATGTAATCCAGGATCGTTAATACTGTTGGTAATAAATGAAGAACAATCATAATCACTAAGGTTGTCATGGGAATAGACAGATGAAAAATATTCAGCAAATAGTTTAGCGATGTCATGGCCATCCTTAGCAACTTTATGGTTCAAAAACATTTCTGTTGGAATATCATTGCAGCGTTTTCTATCCTTAATAAATTTCCAAACAAATTTGGGATTATTATAAATATTAGTATTAATTTTTCTAATATAAGAATCATAAAGTTTACTACTCAATTATTTACAGTGGGCTCTCATTAGTGAGCTAAACTAGTCGTAATCATGTAGGTTTCTAGTTTGCTTAAATTTTTGATGGGCTACTTTCTTTTTAAATGTTAAAGATTTAAGATCTTTATTAAACCATTAGGAGTTTGACCTAATGATTTTCTTTGGTATAAATTGGTCAATGGCACAGTAAAGAATCTCATAAAATAACTTTATCCTATCATCAAGGTTCAAATCACGAAAATAAATATCCCAAGGAACAGAAGCAAAAAACTCGTTAATAAGAATATAATTGCCCTTGACAAAATCAAAAACTTCAATTTCGATACTCAAAGTATCTCCAATTGAGCCATTAATCAACCATGAGTAAGGAGTATGGTGTAAACTACCAGAAAAGGGAGAATCAATCGCAGTGTTGACTTCCAGGTCACAAAAATTGGAAAATACTAAATCTAAAAATATACCTCTGCTATTGGCAATCTTATTAACTTGATACAGATTCAAAAACGAATACGTGTTCCATAACACTTCCACTACAGGAGAGCAATAAGCTGAATTGAGCATACCAAACCTATCAAAACGAATATGAGGTAAATTAAAGTCACCTGCAATTATGACGTTAGAATCAGGGATTATGTTATAAACACTTTCCAGATCCACGCATTGACTTTTATAAATTCCACAGCCGAGTTAGGTGGAATGTAAACACCCCCAATGACCAATTGCAAATCATTTAAATTAATGCGGATAAATACACTATCCACCTTGTTACCCAACTTTACCAACGAAGAACGATATATCTTTTTTACTGCTATTAATACGCCGCCACCTAACATTTTGTTACTAATATTAACATTACGATCCGCACGAAAGACGTTGTAATTTGACAATGACAGTTCCTCGTCACAAATAACACCATGCAACCAAGTTTCAGTTATTATTATGACATCGTATACACAAGAATTAAAATATAGAGAGAAGTCATTAATCTTCGTACGAAGGCCACCCGTATTAAAGTACAGAAAGCTTAGTTTTTTGGAGACTTGTGGACCTCCCCTTTTTTCGAAATAAAAGCCATATTATTCTTGTATTTAAGAGTTATTTTGTTGTCACCTTTTGAAATTTTCTCTTTGAACTCTTTTATGATCAAACTATTAGATTCACGTTGCAATTTGGTCAGATCGGCATGAAAATGAAATTGCTTGTTAGTGTTGTTTTTATTTGAACGCAAAATATTCTTAGCCTCCTCGCTGTTCTCGTAAATTATCTTTAATGGACTATCACACTGGGTTTAGGTAGACCAAGACGAACATTTTTTTTGGCTGAGGAAATGATCCCAATTGATCTAAAACAGAAAAGACATAGTTAAAATGGATCACACAACTTATATTTACCCAAAGTGTGATTTATATGTGTTTTCATCTTGTTTATTATGTTGGAAAATACCATAGCGTTATGAATCGTCAACCTGTTCCCGGATTTCGTTAAACGCACATAAAATATTTTTTTCTTCATCGCACCAGCATTATCAGTTACAATTTTCATATAACTGAAGTGCATTATTTGTTGTTGGTTCCCCTTGCCAATTTATACGACTTAGTTATGTTTCGTTTTCAATTAGAAGTCTCTTACTCTCTATACAACCGCAGTAAAACCAAACATCCGTCAGAATAAAAACTCGTTCATCATGAAGCATTTGTTTCTACAACTAATAATCTTTCGCATTGACGTTTAACGATGAATGAATGCATGAATGAACAAATGACAACCAGCAAAAAATCGGTTTTCTTTTAATTGAAACTGAAAGTGTTTGCATCGTTTTTATTCGAACGTTTTTCCACCTACTGTTTGAAAGATCAGTGGCATCGCATCGAGGGTGGTTCATGGGGGTTTTGCTCCATTCGACTTTTAATTTGTTTTTTCTGTATTTCCACATTACTACGATACGTGGTGCCGTGGTTACAGTTATTGCATATGTTTCGAAATCACCCTGTCTACTCGTATATCACCAACCCGATAAAAATAACTGCAACATAACGCCTTCCACTCTTTCATTGCTCTATTAAAATTAACTATCTACCAAACTTTAATGCAGCGTTTCAAAAACTGTTGTGGGCGAGCACAAACTTGTTACAGTTTTTAATTTATTTCAGACTGGACGCAGAACTTTAACATTTTATGTTTATTATTGACTTTTATTTGTAGATGAATAAAAATTTCCAGACAAATTTAATACATTAGGAAAATAGAATTATGTCTAAAATTTTTTGAGAGATACGTGCCGACCGTACATATGTACATATATATATTACATGTGTGTATTAATTGTGTAGCTTAATTTTCTAAATCAATAAAACCAGTAACACACTGTTTCTTATTCATGCTGCAGTTGACAGCAATTACACAAATGTAAACAAATGTAACACCACAAACGCGTTCATTCAACTATAAACAAAAGATTTATCCAATTTCAACAAGAACTCTAGAATCGTTTGTGATCGTCGCACCGTGCAAGATCATCAAACTACATTCAAGTATTCTTGAAGAAACTTCTTCGAAGTAGTTAGCGCGATGCAGCAAATGTAGGTAGCGACCTCGGGTTGATTTATGATCGTTCCTTAATTCAGCCGCAAACGCTTGATTCTCCAGCTTTTGACCCGCTAAGCTGGCACGTTAATGTCCATAGTCACATGTGAATCCATTTATAAACATCTCAGGCCATAATGAAGCCACTAAAGCGTGTATTCCGAGAAAGTTTGATGATATGTGGATCTGTTTCAGAGTCCTACACCTCCTCAATACGTCTTTTGGTACCACAATGAACACATGATCAACTACGACACCGCTAGGGGTGGCATAACTGTGGAGACCGTGCCAGGAGCTCGAACGCAGAGCCGTCTCACCATAAGAGACACAAATGACGCCGATTCAGGAAATTACACTTGCTCGGCCTCGAACACCGAGCCCGCTTCCATCTACGTCTTCGTGTCCGAAGGTGAGCTGAATATAATGTTTATGGTTATTCTATACGGAAACGACAAAATTAAATAAGGTATATGCCAGATTTTGGTCTGTAATTAAAAGTTTTTGTCTCTAAGTATATGAAAACTACCCCTTTTCCCCCTGCTGAATTTTACTCTGTTTTATAAATGTATAGTTTATTATAATTTGAATAATTATTATCGATTGAAATAAAACACATTTTTGCTCTGTCTAAGCAACTTCGCGGAAACTTATTATAAGTCAAGGGCGATGTTTGCGCCAGAGCTATTCTATAGTTGAACATAACTCAACCGCAGTTATACATTTGAATTTGAACGACTACTTGATTGGTGACTGATGACAAAAATTTTCTCTTGATAAAAGTAGTTATGATAAAGGAGCATAATAATAGAAAATGCTCAAGAAATGGAAAGTCTTCCTATTAGCAATATATTAACAGCATTCTGACCCAACAAGGTTACAGATTACAGATTTTCCTCCATTTTTCTTATCCTCCGTTGCTGTTGTCTAGTCCTTCTTTCTTTCTTCTTGATATTCCTCTCTTGAATACTTACTTGTTGGCTTTGTATTTTCCATCCTTGCCACATGTCCCATCTATCTCATCCTCTAAATTGGTTATGAACGATTCTCCATAGAATTACATCACCATTTGTCTTTTTCCTCCCGAAAACCCCCTATTTTTTTTCCCCACATATCCATCTTAGGACTTTTCGTAGAAAAAGTTTAGTGCATCTTTATCTTTTTTGTTCAGTATCATAGTTTCATATTCATAAGTGACCACCGTCTTCTTGTGATATTGTAGATTCTCTTTTTAGCATTTTTTGATCATTCGCCACAGATTCTCCACACTCCCCATAGTTCTGTTTCCTTTATTAATTCTATCTTACATTTGCTTGCTAATCTAGTTCCTTCTCTATCATTTCGTTTATTTTGTACTTTTGGAAAGAATATCCAGCAAAGCAAAGCCCTTATAATTTTCGCACGTAGTCTCCTCTCCTTTTTAGTGTACTGAGTAGATCATTGATTCCCTCTCTCTCTCTCTTGGCATTTTTTCTCTTGGCATACTTTTTTGACTGTCATGTGATATACTCGTCCAGCTTTTATTCCTCTACTTACTGTTACCACAAATAAGGGAAATGCTGTCTGTTATTTCAAGACTTTAAATAAATGCTCGAAAATAAGATCTACGGTTAAGAGGACCCACTAACGTTTCTTTATACGTTATCAAAATGGTAAATGCTTAGATCGACCTGATGAAAATAGTATATTATTAGCCAAGGTTGCAGAGCCAAGCATTCTAGACCGAGCGCAAATTAGAACCCGAGACGCGCAGCGTCGAGGGCTCTGAAGCGCGAGGTCTAGAAGTGGCTTTGCAACCGTGGTTAATATACTATTTTTTCACTAGTAGAAACCATAAGACAATAAACTGAAAAAATAAACGTTCAATTTTTTGACGCAACATGATTTTGTTTTGATTTCTAATCAAACTTAATCTAAATCTTCAACACAAAGAAAACCGTTTATACTTGTCGCTGAGTTAATCATTTTATCTTCTACCGTCTACCAACTACCATGCGTATACTCAAGTAATGTTTGTAGCACACATTTGTTCATTTTTTAAGAAATAATTACATCAAACATTGCGTACATAACCTCAATTTTTCTTTTTGAACCGGTGGTCGCAAAAGTTGAATTTGCTACCTCTAAATGAGTCGACATTTGCATGCGTCATGGCTGCTAGTGAAAAAAATACATTTTCATCAATCCCAAGCAAATTGGAAAATTCCAAATTTGCCAAACGAACACTAAATTCTCTGCTCATTCATACTAGATTCTACGTACTAGCACTTAAAAAACATGAAGACTGAAAATAGGACACCAGTGCTGAGAGTTAGGTACGTTGCAGACAATCTTTCCAATAAAAGTAAGATGACTAACAAAATTATGTAGAACAATACAGGCGAATTTTGTTAATACTAAATAAAAAATAAAAAATAAAAAATAAAAAATATAGGATATGTTTCAGTCTGAAATGTTTTTCTTATCTACTTCCCTCAGGGATGTAAGTTATTAACTTATTTCCCGTTGCCAACAGCAACCAAAACTTGTTTGGTAAAATTGGCTTACTTCCATCAAATTGATGTTATAATACTGTGCTACAATATAGGGAATGGAAAAGAGTAATTAACACAACCCAACTGAACTAAATTTACTTTAAAAAACTGCATTAATAAAACAGACGAAAGCTCTAACCAAGAAACATCGAACTGATTATGGAAGAAACTTTCTACGTAATTTTTGTGCCAAGTGTATAATATTAATTTAAAAAAAAATGCTAAAAACCATACCCCCGCAAATGGAAAGTGACTGTTATGTAGCCTGTTCATTTCAGTGGAAATGTAATGATTTAAAAATCTCTAGTAAGGAAGCCAGTAGTCGGGGGAGTTACTTTGTCCCACGAGAATGAAGTTATTTTGTCGGGACGTAGCCGACTTAAAAATATATATTTTTTTTGTATAACTACATTTTAACAACTAGATAATTTGGTAAAATTAATTTTTATTAATTTATTAATACTAATTAAAATACGTTATCTCCACAACAAAATGTATTCTAATTGAAAACCCTGGACAGATTATTGAATCTGTGTGGCAGCAATAACGTGTTGCATGCCCTGGATTGTGGGCAAAAATACATTTTTAACTTTGGTATAAACAACAAAAATCAACTCATCATTGAAAATTGTATTTCTGCGTTTTGACACTCCGACTTATTACGACTACGACGAGCGGATCACGCAGATCACCGCAATTCCACTCCACCCGAGGCGATTTACGGTCACTGCTGCGATTACGCCGAGTGACACAGTTCCTTCTACGACGAGCGGATCATGCAGAAAGCTGCAATTCCATCCACCCGTGATGATAAGAGTGCAGATTGCCGAAGTAGCGCAATTCCATCCGAACCCCAACGTTCATCAATCCCTATACATAGACAGACAGACAGACGGACGGAAACGGTAGATTCGTGCTCTAGGGGTCATGAAAAGTCGAGAAACCGTAAAAGTAGACAATCGGCCCACGGACTTCGCTTACACTCGGGAGTAAAAATAAAAACAATTTTGGGACAATATTAGTTTATAATAGGTGATGACTGATCTATTTTTAAAAAATCGTTTTATTTAACACCTACTGCATTTAGAATGATAATAATGGGATAACATACCTAATATATCCCTATTTTACACTACTGATTTAAGAGAAAAGATTTTTTTGATTCTATTTTAATTAATGTCAAAATAAGAAGGCATCAGTCAACTCCTTCGGTGTTAAAATTTAATTGTTATGAGACCTTTACGAATTAGCTCTTGAATGTATGAATTTGGTAAAACAAATATAGCGGGCGGTAAATATTTTTATGTTAACAAAAAAAAGAAGCGGAGCAATACGCCTCGTCAGTATATTTTTTATGTAAATAGAGGGCTACCAGCAATAACCACGTTTTATTCCAAATTCCAGTCTCAACAAACACGTCGAGTGGGCTTCAAAAACGTGTAAAAATATAAAATTTAAATTATAGCCTTTACTCCATTTTTTGTTATAAGATATGTAAGTAATTTGAATTACATTTTGTACTTGATGTTGTTAATCGGTTCATCAAAAATGTGTTATAGAAAAATCTGGTAATACGAAACCACAAGTGAAATTTGGACAAAAAATAACACCCATACAATAGTATTTTTCTTTTTGATTTTTTTAATGTAATTCGCTTTTTCGTGTATAATTTTGTTTAAAAACTAAAGATGTTTTAAAAAAAGTAAACCTACATTTAATACCCCTGTTTGATTGTTTTTGAAAAATTTACACTTTTATTTCACTCAAAAGTACTGTTTAAGTACCAAGAGAGCAGTAAAAAACACAATTAAAGACAACCATGGATTTTCGAAAGTTTGTCTTTGATCATTGCATTTTCAAATCAGACTTTCAAACTGACGGTAATTTAACAAAACGAAAATCCTTTGAGACACATTGACCTGTGTTTTTTTTTTAAGTGAACCATAGCAACTAATAATAATAATGTTCAGATATAAAAATGTCCCGGTATATTACCGTCAATATAAAAATGCGGGGAATATAAGGATAAGAGTATTAAATGTTTATGGAAAGTTGTATCCAAGTAGTATCCAAAAATATAAAAGAATATACATACTTACCATTCCCTAAAACGGTTAACGGGGTCACTAAGATACTAAATAAACAAATTCCCTTATATGATAATAATAATAATACTTTATGTGATATTATTGGTTTTTAAACTATTAATTTTTTTGTGTAAATACTTTCCCGACTATAATTTATATAAACCATCCTTTGTGGAGACGAAATCTGGTATATTACATTTATTTTTATTTGTCGTTTTGGTATGGAATAGTCCTGTTGTGAAAACTGCTTATAAAATACCCGAGTTAATGTTATAGGTGACAATGTGGATGCAATCTTAATGCGAAAATCGTGCGCTATGTGCGTCGCAAGCCAACTGGTTCTCCTCTTGATAGCTTCGGTGGCGGCTGCAATGCGATAGAAGCAGTAGCTCCAGTGACGAACACTTCGGTGAAAAGTGATCATGTGCATATTATTAAAGTGATAAACAGTCGACTGTCAACCACCAAAGACCACGTTTTGAAGATTTCTCCTTAGATTTAACTAACATAAGTAATAATCGACGTAAATGTAAAACTGTAAAAAGTTATCAGTATTTTAAAGATGTAATAGTACAGGAAAAACGAAACATTCAATAGTGTCGCATGGATATCGATTCGGACGATTTCACAATATCCGTCGTGTGATTCCATCGTCAACCCCGTTGACGCAAAATTCAAAATCATTCAAACGTTTTCAATTTATAGTGTCTATGAAATTTTCATATTCCATAATGTGTACAAACACGTACAATTAATCTCTTGCACTTATTCAATTTGTACATACTCAGTTCTTTCGTTGTTAAATATTGTAACATAAGATTATTTACCGTTGTTGTTACTTACGCCAAAACCTCCGAATTAACTAAATTCCTTTCTATAAAATATTTTGCAATAGCAAAACTGCCAAATTTAAATTTTACGGGCTTGTAAGTAGCGCTTCGTCACCGGTAAAAGCGAGAAATTCCGTGTACGCTGAGTCCAACAGACTTTCAGACCAAACGCGACAATTTCTCACTTTTACTGAAAGATTAATTTCATATCTTCTTTATTTCTACTTAACGTTGTAAATATTTATCTCATTATAACTGTAAGATAATATAAAAATAATAGAATATAGTTAATTTGTTATATAATTTCTTGAATGAATGTGTGAAACTAATTCGAATTAAAATCAAAATCATATTGAATCCATAATTACGTTAAAATTCATCATTACCTACATGTTTAGAAACACATTTTTCAAATTAATCACGTTTCAGTTTTGTATCGCAATCACCCTGTTATTACTACTGTCATTATATAGCAAAACATGTCATGTAATGTTAAGTAAATTGATCACATGTATTCGTTATAGGACATTATTCTTTTATTTACTGAACACAAATAAATCAATTGAACACAATATGAATACCTGGGAATGCTTCATTATTAATTTATACCAAACGTGCCATTAGCAGATAATGAAGAAGTAATTTCAATAAAATTCCAGCTGAATTAAAGTTAACTAACTAAATGAAATGTACATAATAATTATCACTTTAACCGAACTACGCGTGAAATAACTGACAATTTTAATTAAAAACATTTTATTACTACTATAACAACAAAATCATCAAACTAAGCAGCCGGCACTTCTTGCTGCTGATACGTCAAAGACCAATAATGTCCACGTTTTTCGGTCAATTCTTCATGGGTTCCCATCTAATAAAATTGTAACATTAAATGTGTCCATTAATTTGATGAACTTACCTCTACTATCACTCCTTTATGCAAAACAACAATAATATCTGCGTTCTGAATTGTAGAGAGCCTGTGAGCAATCACAATGACAGTTCTTCCTTCCTTAGCTCTTTCCAAAGCGTGCTGTACTATCTTTTCTGATTCCGTATCCAAAGCACTACGTCAAGATTAAATGTAAAATGAAGTGGTTCAAAATGAAAGTGCAGTTGAGTGTTTATACTAACGGAATTAAGGAAATCTTACAGAACCATAGCAATTAAGCAATTTAAACACTGCATAAAGGAAAGCTTAATTACTATCACGTGCCATTTGTTCACGATTTGCGAACGCAGGCACAAAAATGTGCAAAAACGTTGCTTCTTTGCCGTGAACTTTTTTAATTTTATTTACGGTGTTGGCTAATCCAACATGCAATGTACATTTATTGTGAAAGATTTATTTACTAAAAAAAAATCAACGGAATTTAATTTTTGTGTCAGAATCATTACGGCTGCAAAGAATTGTATGCACGTATTGCATTGAACTAATTTTCCAATAGGAAGGAAGGTCACGGTATTCCAATATTCTTTATTCTGTGTATTTATAACTGTCGTACTCTTTGTATTCTACAAAATTTTAAAATTCTGAGTGGAGTACATTTAAATTATTTAAATAACACAAATAAAAATTGGTCTAAAATTGTTTAGATAGAACTTCCCCCGATCCTGAAGCGCAATCAATACTTTAAATTAATCGGACTACGCAAAATTTTGAAGCAACGTCAGCGAGTTTTTGGGAGGGGGTAAACAGATAAATTCTGAACAAATTTCAGAACAAACGGTTTTGTAGTTTTTCAGTTATAAAATTTTGATTTTTCCCCAATAAAATACCTTGTAGCTTCATCCAGCAGAAGTACAGTTGGATTTTTTAGCAATGCTCTTGCGATAGCTATCCTTTGTTTTTGTCCTCCTGATAATGTCGCACCTCTCTCTCCTACCATAGTGTCATAACCTTGAGGAAAAGAACTAATAAAATCATGAGCATTCGCTAACATGGCCGCTTCTTTAACCTCTTCGTTGGTAGCACTAGGACGACCATATCTAATATTTTCCAGTACAGAAGTTCCAAATAAAATAGGTTCTTGACTAATTAAACCCAAGACACGCTTTCGCAACCACGATGGATCAAGACTTCTAATATCATACCCATCTATAGTTATAGTACCAGAGTCGACATCATAAAAGCTAAATATATAGGTAGAGTAATGTACTCACACTTACAATTCGACGTATTTACCGTTCTATAAGTGCTACTACTGTGGATTTTCCATTTCCGGAAGCACCAACAATAGCTAAAGTTTTACCCGACGGAATTCTCAAACTGAAATTTTTCAAAATACTCTACAAAGTCAAAATTATTAAAAATACAAACAAAAATGACTATTTAACCTGTTCCTGCCTCGACGGATATGCAAAGGTAACATTATTAAATTCTATATTCCCTTTCAAATCCAATTCTGAAATGGTTTGGCCCCCTTTTAATGACACACTTGGTTGTAAGTTGATGTACTAGATTTTTATAGTTTGTTGATGAAATGCAATTAAATATTTCTATGGAATTACCGCTAACCTCGAAAACGCGGGATCCTGCAGCAAGACCTCTAACCACTGAACCAAAAAGAAGAGATAATTGACCCAGCGATCTCTGAATCGTTTGGGACGCCATCAAATAAGCCATTAACTCCCCCGGCGTTAATTGCTCTGTTGACAAAAGGTAGCCTCCCATATAAAGTGTAACCAGAACCATTCCATTCAAAAACATGTTAGTTCCAGCTTGAAACCAGCCAATACCAAAACCCAGGCTTTCATTTAAGACCATCGCCAATTCAGCTTCTGTGTCAAATAATTCTTGTTCTTGATCCTCCATTGCAAATGCCCTAACAGTTCGGATGTTGCTAACGGCCTCGTCTGCTACAGCTGTGGTTTTCTCAAGCTACGTAACACGGAATCATGTCTTAATTTACGATGATAAATTAATTCACTAAAATATGTAGGTTTATTAACTAATAAAAGTAATGAACTAGCTTTACGGAAGGTGGATTAAATTATGCAAAAATTTCAAAATTACAGAAAAATGATGTCTAAGATTTTCGAGCTTCATATACACTGACCGGCAAAAAAACCGGCCACCCTGAAAAATTTCGCAAAACCACTTTAAAAATTCAAAATTTAACTAGTGATCGTTATTTTATTGACATATCTTGTAAAAATTAGCCAAAAAGAGAAGACATATAAACGCAGAATTAAATTTAATTTAACAAAATAACAGAAACAGATCATGTTCGATATTTCCATAATTAAAACAATAAAGGAGGCTGAACTCTTACAGACGTCTCTCAAATTGTCGCTCTGATCGAGGATGATCGTAGTCAGCGCTATGCATATTTTCAGGGTGGCCGGTTTTGTTTTTTCTGGTCAGTGTAGTTAAACAAACAGTCTCAGTAGCTTAATTTCCTACCACAATTAAATATTAGGAAAATTGGTTACATATTTTTATTTAGTGCCCACTCAAAGTTTCATTTCCTTTCTTTATTTCTTCATTTTCACAGAAAAATTTAAACCAATATATTTAGCTACCTCTTGTGAATTACAAGAGATGTGAAAATTTGTTCACTAATAACAAACAACTAGAAATATGCCTTACTTGTGCTTGGGCTTTTCTTGAGATACCCCTCAGCAAAGCTCCAAAAACAGTACCAACAGCAATCACAGTTGGAATGCACAGTAATGTAATAAATGTCATGTATGGAGAAATCATCACTAGTGAAATTGAACACCCCACAATCTGTGCACCTGCTCTTAAACCTCCAGATACAGTTTGCTTAAAACTGCTTTTAAAGTCCTGGATATCACTGGTAAGTCTAAAAATTTGCATTGTTGTATATGTTGTCACATATGCCTACATAAATTTATTATAGTCAGCACCTATTAATTATCTCTCCAGTCCTTTGTTCATCAAAAAATGCAATATCTTGCTTTAGTATCGCCGAAAATAAATCAGTTTTCATTTGAAATGACATTTTTTCTCCTAGATTTGATAACATATAAATGTAAAAGAAGGTACAGAGTGACTGTAAATATATACAAAGATATCAAAATTGGAAAACAATTATAAATACCAACCTGGCAAACATACATTGCAATCAGTTTTAGAGCAGGAGCTCTCATTTCATGAATGAATGTTTCACTATTTTTGTTTTCTGTATATCGGGCGATCACGTTAATAACACTTCCCATAATTTGAGGGATTTGTATATTTAGAATTGCAACCGCCAAGGCACCCTACAAGTCAGGTAAGTAATTTACCATATAGTAGAAATAGCTTTAAACAAACGGCTATTGCTGCCACCAAATACCAAATGTAAGGCTTTAAATAATGCCACAATTGTCTCCAATCGAACTTCTGTTGGTTATCCGACGAGACTCGATATGTACTCATTCTTGTATTTTTTGCTTTGCAGAGAGCTTTACTATTCAATAACGTAACATGTAAAATTCCTCCTGTTGTTATAGCAATACCTATTCTCGTACATGTTGAAAAGGTGAAATGTACTTTTGGAGCTGGTTTTTTCGCTAAATTTGTATATGCACGCTTTAAATGTACTTTAGGGTATTGAAAATTTTTGTACTGAAAAATACAGCTGTTGTTTAATACAGAATACCTAAAAAAGCGAATAATTATATAAATAACCTCAAAGTATAAGTATGATTTAACCTTGTCTGATTGGTGAATTTGGAGAAACTATGAATAAATTTCCACATTATAAAAATATAAGTTTGTACAACTGAACGTAAATTGTAATTTTTAAAGCGTTAAACAGTGTGATTTTCATTAACATAACCTAACTAAAAACCTAACCCAATCTAAAAAGTCATCGGTAGCATACAGTAGATCAAGAGTCCAGTAGATAAGATAATCGTTGGATAAGGTAGCTAATACACACCAACAATAATAAAATTAACCGTGGACGTGGGTAATTTAAACACGGAATGATAAAAGAAAAGGCAAAAGTGATATGACTGATAAGTGACAAGATTCAAATTAAAAGCCCTAAAAGCGGGTAGATGATAAAATCAGTGGTAAAACCACGGGGTAAAACGTTAACCAGAATGTGTCTAATCATCCCCACCAAATCCACCAATATTTAGTTTATGAATCCACTTTGATTTTTTTAATTATTTTAATTTTTTGCTTAAACCTCCTAATCGCATATCTGTTCTTTATAACTAGGTGTGTAATATGAAGCAATAAAAAAGATAGACTGTGGCTGAGTGGTAAAATGCTCTTTTTGCCTGTGAAAGTCCCCGGGTTCAGTCCCTTAGAAAAAACACTGTTGACTTTTTTATAAGAACTGAGATACAATAAAAAAAAGTTCTGTCAAAGAAGCTACTTTTTATTGTAACTCATTTCTGGCAAAAAAAAGTTGGAAATGTTTTTCCTACGATTTACAAAGTTCCGAAATTTTCATAACTAATTGAGTAGTAATTCTTAAAGATACGTGGTGAAAAATTTCAGCAAAATGTTAAGAAGATGATTGTTTTTAAAAAATTAGCTGTTACATTATACCGGGTGTCTGGAAAATGGCGAATTAACTCTCCGCTACGCTCTTAACAATCAATTGGTGAGTCCGGGAAAAACTAGTCAAAAAATTCCTTCTCACATTTTGGTGGAGTTATGATGAAGATTTTAAAATTGTTTCTTTTGCTACCTACGTTTAACAACTAAACAACACATTCAATCAATATCACAATAACTAGTAATAAAACTTTTAGTTAATATTTCTCTCGCCCATGACCATGTTTAATTACCATTTCTAATTTCATTTAGAATGTGCAAAGATAGTTGTTTTGTTTTTGTAATAATTTGATAAAATTCTATTTCACAAATCAGCAAAAATCGAGTAAGCAGTTAAAAATGTTAGACGTATCAAAAATTGACAAAATTTTCAAAACCATACGTTTAAAATGTTCGTAGTTAATTTTGGGTCCCCTGGTGTTTTATTTTGGATAATTTTAAAGGAATCTGGTGTTTTGTTGCTGGATGAACTTGAAAAATCTTTTGAGTTTTAGTGTTTTATTTTTTATGAATTTGAAAAAGTGCCGCAGTGTTTTTTGTTTTTTTTAATTCGGGAGACTCTTGGATACCCATGGTGTATTATTTTGGCAGCGCATTGAAATTTTTGTAAATTATTTAAAACAATTTTGAGGGACTTTGGTGTTCTATTTCTGGAAAATTCTGACCTGATTTGTTTTTGAGTTAATTTTGAGACCCTACTTTTTTTTTAATTTAAAACAATCTTAAGGTTCTAGGTATTCCTGTTTGCAAAGAATTTGAAAGTGCTTTGGAGCCTCTAGTGTCTTTCTTATAATAATTTAATTAAATTTCTTAGAGGATTGCTAAAATCAGTATGTAATATCTCATTTGCCAAAATCAGCTTTACCTTAGCAGGTACTAGCCCCGCCCACTCACTCTCTCTTTTCTTAGAGGGTATCTCATTTGTCAAAATCAGCTTTATCTTCGAAGGTACTAACCCCGCCCACCCGCCCTCTCTTTTCGTAGAGGGTATCTCATTTGCCAAAATCACTCTTATCTTAGCAGGTACTAGCTCCGCCCACCCACCCTCTCTTTTCTTGGGAGGCATCTCATTTGCCAAAATTAGCTTTATCCTATCAGGTACTATGCCCGCCCACCCGCCCTATCATTTTAGCAGCTACTAGCCCTGCCTGCCCACTTTCTCTTTTCATAGAGGGTATGTCATTTGCCAAAATGAGTTTTATCTTGCTAATTTTACTTTTATAAAATTATGTTTTTTTTTGTAATCTACATTATAAAGAATGTTTTCAAAATTTTTTTGGGACTCCCGAAACCCCCGTACATAAAGTATTGAAGAGTTAATTCGCCATTTTCCAGACACCCGGTATAGAGTAAATTGTGGACAGGTTATATCCAAAATTTCATAACAATTAAGCTTGTTAAAAGAGAGATATTAGATTCTGCAAATCCCATGACCCAAACGCAATGACTCCTCTTCATGTTTTACCACATCTTTGTTTATGAAATACAAAAAATAATGACAACATAAATATTATACATGAAAATTAATAATATTGCAATCTATGACTTGTTTCTTCCAAAATAAACTTTAAATACAAACTTAATACGTAATTATGCTGAGCCTGCGACGATGGCATTATCGTAGAAAGTAATACTCCTACAATTTTGATTTTTTTCTAGTATATCTTTTATTGCAACAAAGTTAACCGCATCATGTTGACTTTAGCTGCTAAGCAACAAATAAACTCAACTCAACTCTCTGACGTAAAAGCTGTCTATCTTTTCTTCCTAAAAAATTGAAAATTGAATAAAATGGGTGATAATCCAGATGAAACGCAAGCTAAAGAAGCTCCCGCGACAACAACAGAAGAACCACCTCCACCTCCACCTGAAGAACAGGTTCAAGAAACACCAGCTGCAGAAGCAAGCCCATCTGAAAGCGTAACTCAGTCCCGCAAAAGTGGCGTCGAATTTCACCATTCTGCGGAAGCACGACCTTCACAAAGCACGGTTTCAAAATCAACACCTTCGGCAACTAAAACTCAAGACCAAGAAACTTCAGAAGGTACAACTCAAAAACCCGCGGAAAGCGCAGAACAAGAACCACGTCCTTCTGCAAGTAAAGATCAGCAACCAAGACCTTCTAAAAGTAAAGAGCAAGTAGCAGGAGAAGAGGCAAAGGAAAAACCACAAGAGGAGAAACAGAAAGAAGAACAAAAACAAGAGGATGAACGAAAATCTGTAGAAGTAAGTACGTCCAAGGAAGTAGTAAAAGAAGAAGCGGAACCTAAAGTTACCAAAGGTTACTTAAAAAAACTGAATTAGAGTTCGAGACTATTTAAATGTTGTAGTTGAAACGAAATCTTCCAAAGCGGCATTAAAAAAAGAGTCTAGTGTCCGCCTGGTTGACAAAAAACCAAGTGGTCTTGTATCTTCGGAGAGTTTAGAGAAGTATAATTAAAAAAAAATTCTGTTTAATTTTTTTATAAATACATCTATCTGCAGAAAACACGGTTCAGTTGGCAAAGATGAAGGTCCGGTGACACCATGAACTTTCACAAAAGTCTTACTTACAAATTTTTCTACAGTTACTACTCGAAAAAGTCGTTCAGGACGTCTTAGCAGCAAAGCAAAAAACGTGCTGGGTAGCACAATTTCTATACATCGTCTAAGTACTACAGGAGAATTTTTCGATAGGACGAAGGTAAAAGGTTTTTATTTTCGTGTATCGACGTCCTAGTGCCAGGAAGCGCCGGCACCACGATCAATAATAGATAAAATGTTTTATGTAGTCATCCGGACTTGTTGATTTTAAACTTCGGTAGCATTTACTTACATCTCTCGCTCCAAAATATAATATTTGCATAATAATCTCGTCTATTTGCCATTCCGCATTTAAATAATTACCGTAACATGAGTTCAACACCAGTCTTTGTTGAGGTAATGTATGATAAGGTTGGGTAAGTCTTAAACAATTGAATTTTAGGGTGCTCGTTTTATGAACTCTTACAAACTGGATTCTGATCATCCTTTTAATCCGGAGAAAGTTGGAAAGATTTTGGAAAGCGTTATGACCGAAGTTTTCGAAAACTTAACTTATGACCCCGATAAATGCCCTAAACAAGCTAAGTGGGCATCTAGTGCTATCAGAGCCAGGGTTAAAGAATTACAGTTTGATAGGTTTGTATGTTTCATAGTATTAATATAACCTAACATAACAATTTTCTTATTTAGATACAAATTAATTTGTTTGGTGACCATCGGTGAAAAAAATTCGCAAGATATTTTGGTATCTCTCAGATTTCTGTGGGATGTGGACAGAGACCGGTATGCAACATATTGTATTGAAAATACTTACGTCTTTGGAATAGCACAATGTTTTGGAGTATACTATGAATAAAGAAAATAAACAATATTTTCATCACATGTACCTACCTATGTAAAACTCTTATATTCAAATAAAAACTGAGAAAACGAGTGTTATCATTCGTCACGTTTGATCTAAAAAGTCAAGTCATACAGAACAGTACTAAAGGACGTAGATTTTCAGTTTTGCCACATATCCTATGATTTACATTTCGATTCTCTTTTCCACACTTTGTGATACTGGAATGATTTTGATGTCCAAGATTTTCTGGAGCGACGGTATAATATACTGAAGCCAGTTGACTTTGCCCTTTCCTGCCATAAGCCATTCAGCCCGATTAAAAAGGTCAAGTTGCAATTAAAATTGTATACTTGCCACATGTCTATAAGTATATGAAATCGCTTTCACAGATTATGCACCTCGTGGACCCAAACCCCTACGTCATATACAAACAAAAAACACATATTCAATACGATTAAAATCAAATTTAGCTGATCTTGGAAACACTCGCTTAGCAGTAACGCCATCGAGAGTAAATATTCAGTTCAAACCGCAAAAATATTAACCTGATTTTAAATGCCATAAACGAACTGTTAGCAAAATCTCATGTGAGAAGTTAAGAAGTGTCCTATAATGTAATACTTAAGTAAAAACATCCAGAAGTTCTAGTTATAACTTGATAAACAAAAGAGGAAAACCTGAATAAGTGAATTTCCTGACACATGGCTTACAGGAACACTTTCAACTGTTAAATAGTGTTATAACCAGGCGCAGTTAAAAATCTTAAGATGAACTGTACATTTACAAACAATAAACAAAAACTGACAGTCGCCGTCGGTACGATTAATTTTCGTTTAAACAATATCTATTTAATGAAACTACAAACTAAATTTTGCCCTTCTACTTTCCTTACATTCCCGTGCGTACCAATCCTTCACCAACATAAAGACTAACATTATTACAAATTCAAATTATTCAAGTGCGGTGCCTTGTTTTTTTCTCAGAGCGAAATTTGAATTCAAACTGGAACACCACAGCAAGAAGGACCAAAATCAACTTGCTTTATTTTAGTCGATAAGACTGTATGAAACTTACAAAGTCGGCTAAAATAAAAAAGGAACAAATGATTTATATGTGATTTCATATTTTAAAAATTTATTTGACAGCGTAGGTGTCATTTTAGATGTAGATTTTTTATAGTAGTGAACTAAATTTCGCTTATTTAAACTATTTCGCGAAACAACGTTTACTTAGAAAAATGGAACAGAATACTAAGAAAACATTTTATAGGGTACGTGGACGAGACAGTAACGAACGTCTGCATTCTCCGCTACATGAAACTACTCAAAAATTAAACAAAGCCTCTTCTAAAAAGGCATCCGTAAAAGGAAAACCGTCAATTTCTTCAAAGTCGTCGGCGGAGAGTAGAACATCGACACGTTCAGGTTTTTCAGCAACAAAAAAAGCAAGATTTTCTGAGACGTTAGAAGATAAACTGCTTAACTTTCCACACTTACAGAAGGAAAAACATGTACAGAAAGATGTCGAAACAGCAGAAAAAAAAGATAACAATGAAGAAGTCTCTGAGAGAGAAGGACAGAAAGACATGAAAGACGATACGGCAACAACTAACTCAGATCAGCAACAGGTCACTGAAGTGGAAACACAACATAAAGAAAAAAAACCAAACGTCAAGTACGAGGATTTATTGAAACCAAAAAAAGATATAGCAAGAGGCAAATTAATAAGTGAAGCAGACAGGCCCAAACCAAAAACGCAAGAAGAAAAAACAACCGAAGATTCAAAGACGGATAAGGAGAAACTTCTATCGCTGGCAAAAAAAGATTATTTGTCAATAGAAAATGATAACCAAGACAGAAACAAAATTTCTGAATTAAAAGAATTAAAATTTGACACTAAGATCACAAGAAAAGGATCTGTAATTCAAGAGACAAAATTTGCACCCCAAGTTGGAATGTCTTTATCATTAACATTAGACAAAAAAGCGAAATATGATTCTTTTGAATTAGATGAAGAGTCAACAATGCTAACTTCTGAGGACTCAACTGACAAGAAATTAAGGTTCGAAGATGATGATCTAGCTGAAAAGAAAGAAATATCTAAAGGCATGAGGTTCGAATATGGACAATGTCCAAAAACTTGTGAAAGGTTTCTAAATATTGAAGACTATGCAAAAATATTTGTAGATGACATTGCTGAAACTGCAATGAGTAATGAGTAGTATATCAACATTGAATCATTTTAATGTGTATATGTTTACAGCCAAAGAAAAAAATGCTGCTCGCCAATCGTCGACGAAAGTAGTTGAAGGAATTGAATACACTGTTCACGACAGTAATGAAAGTTCAACGATTTCAAGTATTGGCACGTACGTATGCATTTTGGAGTGGCCTACCATTGAAGAATTTACGATCCAAATTGGTACATATAAAGTTAATGAATATGTATCATACTGGAAATTTGAAGAAAAGTGGAAATACTGTGTTAACTACTTAGAGGGAATTAGCGACAGTGTTTGTGACTTTTATCGCTATGAAGTAATGTACACTGATACCTAGTTTAAAAATGTTGCATTGAAATTGTAGGCAACTTTCAGTCTGCCGTGCAAGCAATATCCTATTGCACAGGCTACAGCTAGTGTATATTTTACATTTGAAGTTTCCAGAATCAGACCTCCACATTGTCTTGTTGATGTAAGATTTTTTCTACTAAGATGAACGTTTTAATACCTGTATATTGGTTCTAGATGTATTATTGGTTTGAGGGGCAGAGATCAATACACAAACCTGGAAATTTTACGTTTCAAGAAGAGCGATTATTTAACATTGTTGATGCAAAAATTAAATTTTACAAAACTTTAACATTTTGAAAAAATTGTAACTTTATAATACTACACTTTGGTCATTCAAATGCTGTCAAAATAAAATTTACTACAAGCAAAATTGTTAAAAAGTAAATTGTAAAACAATTAGAATTAATAAAGAATAAAAACAATTTTCCTCTTCTTTGAAGTACGTCTAAACAAATACAGTGTTTTCCAAACGTTATAAAATTAAATTTTGCGCAAATTTTACTTTTTCGCTTAAGCTCCGAAAATAAAAATTCTGTTCATAAAATGTAGTATACCTATTTTCAGCATCTGAAAAAAACGGGACAAACAAACGGGCATACAAAAATCAATCTTTATGCCTGAAAGTCGAGAAAAAGAATCAATTTAGTTTGATTTGTATTACTTAGTTATTTTATTAGATTGAAAATGAAGCAAATAAGAAAATATTCAAAATAATGAGCTTCCGAGACGCACCCATCTTGATCAAATAGTCACGAAATTCACAAGTTAGTTGAAGAACAAAACACAATCATTCCTTTCATCATAATAATTTTATGACATTTTTTATTATATTTGCATATCTCACAGCATTTCATTTTATTTTTTTAAAACAAGAAATATGGCGGATATATTAAAAGAAGAACATGAAAAATCACATAAACCCGTATTTAAAGTACATATAAGCAGCGCAGAATCATCAGCTGACGAAAATTATGATGTTCCCATAAGTTATCATACTGTAGCATCTATTAAAGAAAAGTGGGAAAAATCATCACAGAATTCGCAAGAAGAAGATATTGTCTCCATACAACATGAAAGTTATGAACCATCTCGAAAAGCAAGGTTTTCTGAAACGTTAGAACAGCATCTCTTAAAAGATATATCACAATATCTTCTCGGAAATACTGAGCCCGAAGATGAAGAACATGAGGGAAGCGAGGAGACAAGCCAAAAAAAAGGTTCAGATACGAAACGCTTACCATTACTTCTATCACAGGCAGATAAAGAAGTAGGAATGACACAAGTTCCTGTAACCCCACAAACTGATGATACAGCCAGAAGATCAGAAATAAAGTTTAACCTGAGTGAAAAAAGTGATGAGACTGGTTCTGCATATTCAAAAGACGGGACTCCATTGCAGGAAGGAATTGACGAAGAACATTTTTTTGTGAGAATTCCAGATATGAGAGAGATAGCAAAACCAAAAGCACATACAGTTGAAAAGCACCAACACGCAAAAAAGTTTAAAGAAGTAAAGACAAAAATGGGAACCCAACCGGTTCCAAGCAATTGTGAAAGATTTTTAAGTATTAAAAATTATACCAAGTTACTTGTTGACAGACTCACTACACAAGCATTATGTACTCGTTTGAACTGTGTTTATATTTTATAATACCACAAATCTTTGCAGCACAATCACAAATACTTCAACGTGAACTTTCCAGACAAGTTTCTGAAGGTATAGAATATTTCTTGGAGACTGAAAACAGTGCATTCGTTGAAAGTTTTGATACTCCAATGCGTGTTTTGAAGTGGCCCATCATTGATCAGTTTACTGTTGAAAGTGGTATAACAAAAATCAAGGAATATTTGTCGACGTGGCATTTTAATGAAAACTGGAAACATTGTGTCAACTACTTATACCAAGAAGCTGATGCAGCTTGTTCTTTTTTTCGCTATGAAGTATTTTTAGTGTTATGTTCTCTTTTAACTCCTTAAAAAATCTCGTAGGTCATCTTCGGTATTCCTTGCAAAGAATATCCAATTCCGCAAGCTACAGCCAGTGTATATTTCACATTTGAAGTGTCTAGAATTAAACCTCGAAACTGTAACGTAGATGTAGTTTTTAGAACTTTTTTTATACGAACACAAATACCCAATTTTGTCTGTTATAGGTGTATTACAGTTTTGAAGGGCAGAGACTAAAATGCACCCCGGGAAAATTTACATGTCAAGAAAAATGGTTGTTCTATATAATCGATGCAAAACTTACTTTTTTTAAAAACTTAACATTTTGACATTATGTAAATTAATAATCAGTGGTAGGACAATAAAATTGTAGTTGAAAATATGAATTTTACTCCCAACCAACGTAAAAATGTAACAAGTATAGAGGAATCGAAAGGTACCATGCCGGACAAAAAATTTCAAACTACTGCTGTTATTTTAAAAACCATCAACAATGCCAGCAACATCGCATTTTAATAAAGCCAAAATTTTAGGTCATCCATATGTTTGAGGTTTCTGTAAGTACATTTAGTTGAGCAAAACAAATCTAAAGTAAGAAATACGATTAGTTTTTCATAAAGACAAATTTACACTTTAAAGGCAATATAATTTGAACTCATTTGAAATTTTTTGTCCGACGTAGTATGCATTGGATGGAATTATTAAACAGTTTAACAGTTTAAAATTTATTTATCACAACATTTTTTATACACACTTATAAAATTACATATAACATTATTTTTAAATACCTTTAGACTTATAAAAATACACAACTTTAAATACCTGTACGTTTAAATATTCCTACTGCTTGCGCTTAACAAGCAAAATATCTGCAACAACAGGATTCTAAAATTAAAGGTATCCATAAACCAGTAAACTAAAATTTTATACACCTACATAAAATGTCTAAGTAAAAAATTTTAATCATTCAATAAATAATATCAAAAAATATATTTCTCAAAATTTCTTTGATTAAAAAATAAATTAATGACTTTCGCCAAGGTTCACTTTAAAACAGGAGTGAGAAAAAAATAACGAGTTAAGAAATATGAGTCATATAATATACATATTAGACTATTTACTAAATATTATTGTCACTGGTTAGATCGACTACCTGCATCACTCTCAGTTTTTTCTGACTCGTCATGCGATGGCATTAAAGCTAGATGTTTATTTTTTACTGATCGATCTGCATGTGAACACGCTTCTAAAACGATCTGATTAAAAGCTTCCGGTTTGTCAGCGTAAACATGGTGACCAGCCCCTGTAATGACCTGAAATAGGGGACAAATACATAAAGTGATCATTTTACTTCGTAGGTAACCATAAAACAATTAAAATTCACCATGAGTTAATTCAAAATGAATATCCTTCGAAATTCAATAAACAATAACAACAATTTTGAGTGTCTTCACCCACCTTCAAGATAAATCTTTTGTTTCATAGCTACTTACTTCCACATGTATTTTAATCATTGAAATTTCTCATGATTGATAAAAAATCACAGATTGTTACTTACTTGCAGCTTAAAATACGAATCAATTCGTTTATTTTTTATAATGTCAGTAGCCGAATGGTCTATCCAAGACCTAGATCCATATAATAATGTTATGGGTACATCTTTCCGCATTTGGTCTATCCTCTTTACCATTGGATTTTTTGCCCAGCCAAAACCCGACATCATAGCATGAAAAGCACTTTCACCGCTAAAACAGCAAAATTTATACGCCTGAAGTTCAAAATGAAACACGTGTTACCTAGGTGTCTGGGAATTACACTGATAGATGTACTGCGGGATAAGTTCTTGTTGCTCTAGAGCAGCGGCATATTTTTTCGTAATATCTGATCTTAAAGTATTGATAATCCATGGTCCTGTAAGTATATTCATTGTGAAATATTTCACTAGCTTAGTCAAAAATTAATACCTAGAGGGCCTGCAACTCTAATTCCAGTTAAAGGATTAAAAGGTTGAAGCATGTAAGATAGAGTTCGAATCCAGAGCGGCAATTCTTTAAATTCTGGTGGTTTTTCTGGGAATCCCCATGGGTCGGCCAAAACTAAGTGTTTCACATGATCTGGATATGAAAGAGCATATGCGGCGGCAAGAAATCCTCCCATGCTATGTCCCAGTAATACAAAACTTTCCAGTTTCATTTCCCTTCGCCATTCTTCAATCGATTTTACCATTTGTTGCTCAGCTTCCGTAGCATCATTACTAAACTGGGGTCGTGTAGAGCGACCGAAACCTACACACATTTGTTAATTCTTTTGAAGCATGTTTTTATTACTATTAAATACCCAACAAGTCAAATGCATATACTGGTCGACTGGCGGCAAATGCATCAAGATTCAAACACCATAGTGCTACTCCAGCTCCCAAACCATGTAAGAGAACTAATGGCGTATTTGGGGAATCAGTGTTAAAAGATATTGTCCAAATTTTATCCGCAGGCCCTACTACCGGTCCTATGTCAACATACCACCCTCGATAAGCGGTTTTTACAACTGAAAATTCCCAAATTTGATTAATAGATTCTGCACAAAGTACAGATAAATGACCAATATTACAAAAAAATGGTGGAAAGTTATTTAGGTAGAACTTCCCCAAGCCCAAACAATTCTGCATGCACGTTAGAGCGTAATCTTCATTAAAAATTATTTATAATGTAGACATAATGTACATACTACGCTATATGTTTCAAGTGTAAGTTTCCTGATAAAATTTTGTGATAACGTTATCAACTTTTTAATGGGAACAAATATGTTAATTTCTGTGTTCTAAGACAAACTGCAAAATTTCGTTGAACATTTTTTCCAAAATAACTTGCAGCGGAAGGTTGATATATCATTAAACTGCAGGTAAAGGAGTGAAGTGATATTTATTTAGCAACACTTTGCGACGATGCCATTAAATATTTAAAGGGGGCGAACAACACGATAATGTCAAAGTACGCTCCCTATCTAATAAATTTGCCAACAAACCACAGACAGATGGAATGAGATATTCGTCATAGGGTCATTTAACTTATCATAGGACTTTCGTTTTTACTTCCCGAGAGAAATATTATACCAGAATCTGTTTGTGAAGGGCTTAAACCCATTTGCATCTGCTCGTCATTTATAGAATTTGTAAAGTCAAATCTTATTTATTTAAGAAGCCAGGCTTGTTGAATTGTGTGTGCTTCAGGGGCGCGGAAAATTTTATTTGAAACAATTTTGAGCATTTTTTATGTTGTTCTATTGTACTACATCCTTGTTTTTGTCTTACGGAGCTGACACGGAGCTTTAAAATTTTAATCAGTCAATAAAGGTACACTTTAGCAAATTATACGACAAATACATAATATATTCTAACAATTTTCGCTTGAACATAAAATTCAATAAGCATTTAACTTCGAAGTAGGCGCTCTGCATAATGTGTAAATGTTCAGGTCTGGTTATAAATGCTGAAACTTGAATGAGTAATAAGATACTATTCCAATTCACAATTTTATTAAAATAAAAAATTATAAACATTTAAGACATGAAATTCCCACTACGTTTGATCTCTTACTTTTTATCATATTTCAAATATAGAATAAATAAGTAAATAAAAATTTAAAATGTCACAAGCTTAGTAGGATTCGAACCCACGTCTCCTTCTTGTCGCGCGGATATAATTAGATCACTATACACATCAGACACTGTGACAATAAAAGCAAAATGACAAAGAAATAACGTCCAAGATTTTCTGGCCTCGACTGTACCTATCTGTTTTTTTTTGTCTCAGGCTAAAAATTAATCTTTTGTAATTAATTGGTAGGATTGTCCCAGTCAGCGGTCAATTAAATTTTCAAAAAACGGAACAGTGTTTACTTACAACATGGAATAAAGGACGGTAGAATTTAAATAAATTAAAACCTATAAAAAAGATTTTCTGCGGATTTTTTTAAATACAACCATGCTAATAATAATTACTAAATGGAAACGCAAATATTACAGACGTAAAATCAGTGCTCTCATTTATTATGAACATCATCACACGAATTTTTTTATACGCTAATCGTGCAAACTTGGGGGCATAGGGTATAGTTGTAACACGATCACACAAGAAAATAATAAAAAAATCAACACTAAACAACAATGTACAAATAAACATGAAAACTACTCACTTTGCAGAATTTTTTTCTCCAATGTTCTCAACATGCCCTCTGAGTATTTATTCCATGTTAACCAATCGGGACTAAACCAGCTAGTATTAAAAAACACCATGAAATTAGTTTTGAACAATACCACACAAGAAAGTTAGGTTATGTTATATAATTTTGGAAGTGCTTACCTTAGTATATAAATAACAAATTTATAATACAGTGAATAGACAGCGACCAACAACGCAAGAATTGCGGTCAACATAAATTTGAAAATAATTTCAGTCTTCATGACACAAATAAAGGATTTGAAAAATGACAATCAATTTGACATCGACGTTTGCAGGTGAACAATGTGAACCTTATTTATGAATTTATTTAGTGTGTAATTTATTTAAAACATACCTGGTAACTTGCTGTCGAGCTATAGTTTGAGAAGACCCACGATCCGTAACAGCAAACATAGCAATTTCCGTGTAAAGAAGCCCCCAATTATGATCTTAACCTCACTAACACTGAAACCGATATGAGTATAAATGTCCCATTGTTTTAGATAAATCAGCGATTATCAATATTACTCATATACGGAATTTGAACCCCACAGCACATATTGTTCCGTAAATTAAAACTAGTAATGCCTCAGTTACACTATTATTGTTATTGCAACTAGCTTTGTAAAAACCTTATCCACTCACACAGTTTACTGTTAAAAACGTCATTATTACGATATAAACACTAAACTGATAATGGGAGACCTTGACTTGCATCTTTAATAATAACAATTTCCTCTTATTTTTTACGAAATTAAAGTCACACGTGGTTATCAGTTGTAGAGGTTTGTACTCGAAGAATAGATGACTTTAATTTACAGTACAAAAAAGGTCAAGGTTTATTTCTACAAATTACCTGCTGCCACTTTAAAGTAGAAAAGTAGCAAAACACTTTATATTAATCAAAAAAATGTTACTCTGTAATTTACCTGCAATATTTTTGCTAACGATGTTATTTGAACTTGATCAATTAGGAACATTTATCATTCATTATCCATGTTCACCTTAGAACGAACAAGTATGAAGCCAATTTGTTCTGAAATTGAAAGAATGCATTTAGTAACATTGCACGAAAAAGAACTTCAAAATAACAAAAAATTTATTTTATTGCAAATAGCATAAAATTTCATATTAATCCACCCGGTATATTATTGTTTAAAGTATAAGTTAAATGACCTTGGTCATTCCATTTGAATGTCAGATTTTTCGGTTGATAGTAAATAATGTAAAACTAAATATTTACATACAAGATAACGAACGAAAGTTAAGCAAGCTTTAAGTCATGGTTTTCGGCAAAAGTGAAAAAACATATCCTTTGGTCATTTCTCCTAAGTCTACAAATTCATTTTTCAGGAGAGCAATAAAAACACAATAATTTATCTTGACAGAATTTTTGTCTTGTCAGATTACCGCCAGTTTAGAAGTTTGAGTTGAAAATGCAACAATCAAAGACAAACTTTCAAAAATCCATGCCTCTCTTTGATCGTGTTTTGTATTGCTCTCATGGTATTGGAGCTAACACATGAATAAAAATAAAATAAAATAGATTTAACAAAAAGTCCTACCAGAGTTTGATTCGAACATTCCTTGAAAGAGTAAAGCGTAAACTACTAGAATAGTGTGCATTTTAAACCTTAGTGCTTATCACTAATAACTATGGTAATGACCACTGGGCGGAAAAATATCTTACGGATGCAATTCCCCAGTTGAAGCAAGGTGTGTTTTACGGCGAGTAGCGGGGACGCTTTGATCTGGTCCACAAGGTCGTAGCCAGTGCGTCGCTTGGAGTGTTTACAGCTTGTTAAAAAACTACTTCTATATTACTATATTACTTCAAATAAAAATACTCGATGCCCTTTTTAATTTTTCAAACACATGACCACAGATTTGTGATCTTGAAATGTTATATTATGTTGATATAGTCCAAAAGAAAAATATATTTGTAATCAAACTATCGCCGCGACAGCACTGGATCGAGCGTATGAAACACAATTCCGCGCGTTGGTAATGACTTATTTAACGATGTTTTTGGCCATATAAGAGGAAAACAAACTGTTTTCGTTAATAATAATACACGTGTGTTGTTGTTTTGTTATCGTAAATTTAAATCAACTCCTAGTAAAGTATGTACTGTTAGGTTTGAACTAGTTTAGATATGTCGGTATTATATAATTATAAATGGTCGGATCACTATGTTTCCTCAAGACAAGTTCTTGGCAACACCGAACTGCTAAATATGGAGCAGACGCAAAACCGTATATCATTGTTTATAATCTGCAATGAGTGTTTACCAGTTAATGTAGGTTCTCAAGCTATAGAATTAAAACTGGTAATCTCTATCCTACGAATTAAGATGGAAAACAAATCCTGTTGCAACGTGGGTCCAACTAAGAATAAGAAATTATCATTCAAGCTTCTGTTATTGTTGTTTTTCTCAGAATTACCGAATAAAACACTTAATTTAGTTGAACAGAGCTGGTGGGTTTTACCATGCCATGATGCGGAAGATAAAAGGGCAAAGCTGGTGAAAGTTTTAGAGATTCTGAAGGAAGTACGTGTATACAAATTCGATGTGTCCCATACCACAAATTCGGTGCAATCTTGCTTTAATTGCTGGTTTCTACTAAATTTTCTGTTTGTTAAAAGTAGCCCATTGTATCCTTTGAGGATCTAATTTAGGAGGATTAGTCTTGAACTGTATCTGACGACAAATCTCCCTTGCAAAATTCTTTGTTTGAAATGCTCTTCGCAAATACATTTGTCCAACTTATTAGAAGAACTAAGAACATCGGCTACTTTCCAGAATCGTTTAATCTGATGTTCAAATATTGAATTCTGAGATAACCTATATTTACTGAAGAAGTACTCTTTAGTAAAGAGAGAGAGTAGTGCCACTAGGACCGTTTGAACGAATTTGATTACGGGGCATTAAATTAAACAATATTTTATTGCTAATAAGCCCTAAGTATATCAACTGTTCTAGAAATATTGAATGATAGATGAGATAATTTGAAGTTATTTGGTACCTATGTTCAATGGGGCTAGATCGAATATAGGTAATTAACGGGTGATTAGCAGATATTACATCTGGGATTAGACATAACAAGCGTCTAATAAAGGAGTTGCAATTGGACTGAATTCTATGGAACAGTTTGATTGTTGCTGATTCCAATGGCCTTTGAACTAGATTGTTCTGGGGCTGCGAAACAACTGTTCTCAAAGTCTGACAACTGAACCTGTTTTGTTTCTGACCCATTAAATTAAAAAATTTGCAAATGCATATCCTCAAATTCTTTAAGAGATTATTGTAAACCTTGGAAGCGTTCTTTTATTTCAGTGATTTTTGTGTGATTTTAGAGCTTACTGATAAAGGTAACAACTTTTATAAGACGAGTTTTAATTATCGAACGTTTAGTTTTTAATGATTTGATTTCATTGGTATTTCCCCTCCCATGACTAAGTAAATTTAAACTAAATACGAACTAACAATGATCAAAGCTTGTAGAGGAAAAAGAGAAGTGGTACTGACCTAATTTGCGGAGAAATCTTCGATGAAAACCGGGGTACTATCTACTTTGATCCGACTCGAAGGACCAAAATATGCTGACGAATTTGTGCGTTAATAAAACTAGCACTGCATTTCACTGATATATATATATTTCTATAGACGTATACAAGACACATAAAATGCAAGACTTGTAAGAGATAAGAAGACTTATCCCGAACTGTTTGTCGTTTGTCGTCTCTCGTGGTGAAAACGTTGGTAATGCCGTTTCGGGGTGAGTAGCGCAGGCGCATTTAGTACGATGGGAAAATTCTACACTTGACCACAACAATAGTTATAACTTTCAAATTTGTGTGGTCAGTCGTTTTGACCTGTAATCGCAAAGGATTAATGCGTAGTGTTGTTAGACGCTTTAGGAAAAATGAAAGATTCACACAAATTCGTGCGTTGGCAATGGTATATAGCAGCATTGGCGGCGGTGGTAGCCGACGTTACAGCATCGACAAATTATAAACATAATTATCTTGCATATAAAAATGCGATAAAGTATATAACTTATCAATTTAAAATATTTACAAAGAGCTGTAGTTACATAATAGCGGAAATTATTTATAAAACATGTTAAGTTATACATATACTTGACTTTTTTTTTTAATATTTAACAAATTTGAATTTACACATTTGGAGAAAAATCATTAGCTTTTTGCCAGCAAAGCAGATTTCTCCTGTTTTGTACAAAAGTGTTTATATTCGCTAATGCATAATCCTCGATCATTGTGCCTCTACCGTTAAAATTTGACTCAATTATTTAAAAGATAATACAAAAACCACAATTACCGTTATGTTTCCAAAATTTTGAAGCCACGCTTTCACAATGAATGCTAAAGTGAGAGCACAACATGAAGCGATGTTTATTTCCCGCGGATGCTATTAAGACTTTCGACTGTTCAAATCCATTCTAGAAATTACATGATCGTTTTCCGGGTTGGAACCGTGTAAATTGAGTTTTTGGGCTCAACGTTTCGCACACTTTCGTAAGTGGCGTCTTCAGGAGCAGGGTTAAAAATAAAGCAAAAGAGGACGGTAACTGAAGATGCCACTTACGAAAGTGTGCGAAACGTTGAGCTCAAAAACTCAATTTACACCGTTCCAACCCAGAAAACGATCATGTATTGATTCCGACCGTGGAGGCCTCCGAAATTACATTCTAGAAATTGCACATTCTACAGTTTTACAAATTTTTTAGGTTTTGTACCGCGAATTTACAAACTGAAACGGAATCGTTAAAATTTCACAACATTTCAGATTATAAAATCGTCAATAGACTGATCTTACACTAGTTATACTTGTTGAGGGGGATCCTGACGTCGAATGCGATTTTTAATTTTGTTTAAATAATTGCTCTAAAGTGAAGTTACAAGCAAAAAAAGCAGTCAGACACGTACACGTATTTGCACTGCACTACCAATCACATGCGCTCAAGTCAACTTTTTACCTGCACTCAACACTTATACAGGGTGATATTCAATAATTCTCTAAACGCGCTAAAACATGTATGGGTAATTGCCTACGTTATAGTAATTTTTTTTTAGTTTTCTCGGGAAAATTTGATTTTATAAATTGAGAATAATATTTTTATTGCTTTTAATTCACATAGGAGATATCTTGTATCTTGTTTAAATGCAACAATTTCTATGTATGCTGCTAACAGAAAGATGCCTCCCGTATATGTCAATTTTGGGAAAATTTTACACGCTATAAAAATCCTTTAGTCTTTTTATTATCTCTGTAGCCGTGTAAACCTTCAATTTAATTAATGTTGCGTAGTTTCTATTGTTAAGTCCGATAAAACTGATCATAATTAAACCACTGAAAATACGCAGATTCTAAAATAGTTAAAGAATTACAAAGTTTATTGACAATTAAAAGATCTTTACCACTTGATGACTAATAATTGAGAAATTAAAAAATCCAGAAAATAGTATGGACGAAATATCGACAAAAAAATTTAGCTGCATGCAGTCTTGACGTGAAGCTCGTGCGCATGTTTTGTTGGTTGCATAACACTCCAAATAACTAATAATGAACAAACTTGAAACTTGAGCAAATATTTTATTTTTTCTTTATATAGTTTTAATTAGGCCTTACATAATTGCAATAGAATAAAAGTAAAATACTATGATGCAACAACCTGTGTATCTGTAACTATTGTGTCTTGATCAGGAATAATTTCAAGTGGCAATTTATCATTTTGTTTGTCCCCTCCTTCTGTCAGATTACATGCATCAACAACAAGTTCATTAAATGAATCAGGATTGTCTGCATGCACATGATGCCCTGCCTGACTAATAACTTCTAATCTGACATAAGAACTTTTTCTCAGCTCCTTAAGTTTCTTTCCCACTGATCTATCCATCCATGTGTTTGATCCATTCATTAAAGTAATTGGTACTCTATTATCCAGTTTATGTATCCTATTGAGCATTGGATTTTTTGCCCATCCAAAACCTTTAATCATTCTATGAAAAGCAGTTTCACCTCTACAATGAAAGTTTGCATTAACATAAGTACTCATTTTCATTTATCTGATAACCTACGTTGGTTTTTGCGAATTGCATTGATAAATATAATCACTGATAATCTCATGATTCTCTAAATGTCCGGCATATTTGTTTGAAATGTCTGATCTCATCTTTCTTATAATCCATGGTCCTATAAAAAATTGACAATTACCACATCATTAATTCTCACTTCTTACCAAAAGGTCCAGCAGCTCTAACAGTTGCTAATGGATTGAATGCTGTAAATGGGTATAATACAATGCCAAGGGTTTTCAACCATAGAGGTGGATTAAAATCTGATGGTCTTTCTACAAAACCCCAAGGGTCTGCTAATATTAGGTGTTTTACTTGTTTTGGATATGAAATGGTGTAACTGGTTGCTAGATAACCACCCATACTGTGTCCTAATAAAATAAACTGGTCTAGTTTGACTTCTTTACGCCATTGTTCTATGGATTCAACAAATTCTTGTTCAGCTTCTAGACTATCACAACTAAAGTCTGGTCTTGAAGATCTTCCAAAACCTATATCAACCTATACTATTATATACTACAGCAATTATATCTTTGTTATGCATACCCAAGATGTCTATAGCATAGACAGGCCGATTAGCTGCTAAGGAATCTAAATTCAAACACCAAAATCCAACTCCTGCACCAAAACCATGTAAAAGAACCAATGGTGTATTTTTAGACTCTGTGTTCATTGAAATCGTCCATATTTTAGCTTTTATACTTGATTTATGATCGATAAGGACATGGCACCCTTTATATGCGGTCTGTACAACTAAGATAAAATTCATTTTACTAATTGATAACACAACAGTCTGAAAATTTAAATTATACCTTGAAATATTTTCTTTTCCAGTGATACAAGTTTGCTCTCTGAATACTTTACCCAGCCGCATTTTTCTTGATTTTCTGGAGGTCCTGACATTTCACTGGAATTTTGTTCTGTTGTTGTTGACATGTTTCACACTTACAATCACACGTATAACCTTACTTTTTTGATGGATCGCAAGCTTAATGTCTGGTTTATTGATCTAAATTGCTGCAGATTGAATAATTTTAAGCACGTTAATACGCGACTAGATAGCATGATGAATCAGCAGAACACAATTATATAGAATGAAATAGCACATTTTATCACAGTATAATCGCAGGTTCCCACTCTCCTACCTAATCTATCTAATTCACATTCACAGCGCAACATATTACCGTGAACCATCAAATCACATAGCACACGGACCTGACGAACCATTAAATATTTGGAAACATTTGGATTTGATTATGCTACGTCTACACGTTAAAAACCAGCCGGTTATAACCGATCTTTTACGACTAGCAAATCATTCTCGAGTACCCAAGTAACAGCCAAGGGAAATACCTACATATTGTAAAAGGGTCGTTTTGATAAATTTAAACTTCGTGTTATAAATGGTTGCCAGGCTGGTATCTTATCTTATCATGGAATACAAAAATGCATTTCCGTGTGTCGTCTGTTTGTCAAACCTATAGTTTTGGATTATCGTAAAAACAGTTATAAGTGCTCATTCACAATGGGCATAAAGCATAAGCATTAATGCATAAAAATTTATGTTTAGTGCTCTATGCTTGTATTCGTTCACAATGAGCATAAGTACACATTCACAAAGGGCATAAAGGATAAGGATGTCTTAAGCAATATGGTCATGCATTGTGAACGAATATAAGCATAGAGCACTAAACATAAATTTTTATGCATTAATGCTTAGGACATCCTTATGCTTGATGTCCATTGTGAATAAGTACTAACACACCTAAATTCCTCCGTTTATTTCAAAATATTGTTAAGCTGTTGAAATATTGACATGCTTATTTACTTATGATTAATCAATCTGCCTCCAAAATTGACTGATAGGCACTAAATCTGTGTCTGTCACAATGTCGTAACAGGGATAAAAGGGTGTTTAGGATTTTTTAACACCTTGATGCAGATATAGGTTCCAATAAAGACCAATTATGTGCCAACCAAGTATATACTTTGTCAATGTTTCGCTAAATTTTCTGAAAACTTAAATACTGAATTCATAAATTCATCGTTTTGACAAAATATAAACAAACAGACGTTACTATTAACCCTAGAATTATAACTGTTATAGGAAAATTAAATGGCCGGCAGAACAGGATTATAAATCTTATTTAAGCATAATGCGGTCCTAAACACAAGTTTAAAAAGTCGAAATTTATTGGCATCCCGTCATTGGCATTACTCCACATTTTGCAACTATTAGACTATTACTCGATGGGTTGATGGCTTTACTTTAGCTTCCGACAAGGTCAACAACTCAGTGTTGCGTAAACCTCATTTCTCATTATACTTTTTGTACCTCCTGTTTCAAAAAGAATTCGCGGTTAATAGCTATTGATCAGCGTAAACTCGTAGATACAGGAATACTTTTGTTGGTATGCAGCTGTGATGGAAAAAGTGGAATAAAACTCTAAAAATCACAAAAAATGGGAGGTGCGATTTAGAATCAGCACGTCCAGATCTGAGTTTTTGACACCTTTTTCAAAAGCGAAATTTTACCAGTCCCCCCTTACTTCAAAATTCTACCCATTTTCAACCATGAAACTTAACTGAATACATTTTCTTGTATATTTCGAACCCTGGAAATCACTTCCGGGCTCGTTTCTTCGATAACTCTAACCGCTTTTCCAGAATGGTCGACTAAAAATTGCAATTTTTGGAATCTTTTAAAAATTTGATTTTAAAATCGAATATTGCGTCCATAAATACGCTACATTTTTGGAATCAGCACGTCGAAACCTATATTCCAGAATTTGGATTTTTAGACAACTTTTTCAAAAGTGAATTTTTTCTAAATAGACTTCGAAGCACAGAAGTCACCTCCGGGCTCGTTTCTTCGATAACTACAACCGTTTTTACAGAATGACCCAATGAAAAATCGCAATTTTTGGATTTCTTAAAAAATTTGTTTTTAAAATTGAATACTTCGAAAATATTGCTCCGTGACGGTAAACATCCTAAATTTTTACGACCCATTTTCGAAACTTAACTAAATACATTTTCTCGGATATTTAGAGCCCTAGATGTCACTTCACAAAAATGGAAAGTTTTAAGTTATCTTCTAGTATTCAGAAATGCCTGAAACTTCCAAAATGTGGTAAATTAAAGAGGGGAATCCCAATTGCACACATGGCTTGAAAAAGTTAGGACTTTTACCGCTCGGAAAAGTCCGAATTGCGCTTACTACCTGAATGCTCCCGTACCAGACCCTATTAATAACTACAGGTAAAAATTACTCTCCATTGGAAATCCAGTGTTGTATGAAGTTTTTAATTGTAATGTGTATCGCAATAATAAATTAATAATATATGCCTTTATACTATTCAAAAAATGATAGGTTCGTTTTAAGAAATTATTTAGAAAGTCCACGTGGACTGTATGCAGCACGGAATACATTTTTAGATAGAGAAAATCACTGTGAATAATTTTACAGTTTTTTTCGGAGCGACTCGTAATAACCTGCATAATTATATCATGTTTTAAAATTTGGTAATCACGTTCACAAAAATTTTCAAAGCTTGAAATATGACTACAAATAAAAAATTTGCCAGTGTATGTAAGCTTACTTTATTATATTAGAGTATAAAGAAGCGGATAATTTTTACGGGGTCTAAGCAAGACGAATCATTTTACTCATTTACCTATTTGGTGTTGTTTGATCGATGATCACCATCTTCGGTTTTGAGTAAAAACTTGTATACAGCGGCGTAAATACAATGAATGAAAATATTCAAGAAGAACAAAATATCAATACTAGGTAAGTTACAGACTTTCAAAATATAAATACACCTATTAATTAAAACAAAGCTTCACTCGGTGTACTTTTACAGCTACCCATAGTATAACTCTACTCTATACGAGTAAGGTGTTGCCTTCTGTATTATGAACAGGATCCATATTAATTATAATGTGCCTCAGTAATAAACAAAAATTACATTTAGAATTATTATCGAGCTTTTTAAAGATAATGACCATCAATAATACACTTTGTTGTGATAAATTTATTTAGAAATGTTAAAATGAAATTTTTGCTAAATGTGTATTTATTTTCTTCTCCACAACACAACAATGAATTAAAATTTTTTGAGTTATGTATAACTGCTATTTTCCTTTTTTCAAGCGACAACTTTACAACCTTATCATGGCATGAGCTCCTACAAAATCTCAGCACAAACCACTTAGAAAAATTGGAAAATATTTTTAAAAGTAATGAATCAAGTCTTAGCAAGGAACAGTTTTTTCAAGCAGTTGATGAAGTATTTGAACACTCGGATTGTGCCCAACAAATAATTGCATTATATGATCTTATAAACAAAAATAATGAATCTAGAATCACGTGGGGTCAATTACTGGATTTCTTTGTACAAAACATATCACCAAATGGTGCTGGTGTAATAGATTTACAAATAAATGCCATTATAGCAGTACCACAGACAAGAGTAAACTTTTTGTACATGTGTATAGACATGCAGTGTTAAGAAGTAATGTCTTTTAGAGAGAAGCAATAGTTAAAATTGTGCTTATCGAAACGTCAAAATATTTTTGTTATGCCATATTATCCAAGCATGGTAGAGTTGGTCTGTACGATGGCAATCTGAACTTTTTAACAACATATCAGTTAATAATGACGAGAGAAGATATTAATCGGCGGGAGGAAGATAGAAGAAGAAGGAATAGATGGGTTACAGATGCCATTTTTTGTAGTGACGTCCTTATGTTTATCGTAACTAATACTGCGAGAAGTGTAATTATTTATGAAGCTTCAGGGTTAAAACATGTGCCTTTGTGGCTTATTTTAAGCACACCTAACATTGTTGAGGTAATAAGTAGATCTCATTACACTACTTGTAATCGTCAGTATCAATTCTTGAATTGCAGTGTTTTGCCTATAAAAGCAGTGATGCTAGTGAAAAAGGAGAAAGTACGTTATATATGGGTGATGACAGTGGTTTAGTATTTTCTTTTATTTTTTTGCAACCAAAAGTACTCATATTAAGGAAAAAACATAACGACAAACTTAGTTTATTTTATTGGGATGTAAGATGTACTGTGGTTTTTAGCAATATTTATTTTAAAACTACTTGTTTTAGGAATTATCAGAAGAAAAAGATTTTATGATTGTAAAACGTATCGGCCGACCCCATCAAGAAAGCATAAAACGACTTATATATTTTGATGATAATGAAACGCTCGTATCTTGTAGTAAAGATTCTAATGTTTCTTTAATAATAAAATATGTGGGAAAGAAAAACGCACCTTACGTTTTTAAAATGCCCAAAGTAAGTAAAATAATAGAATGTAAGACGTAACGATTTCTTTTCCAAAACTCAAATTAATCAACTTTCAAGAGATACTACCCAAATACACATTTTAATTATAATTTATAAGTGCTTCGTGCTTAACTCAGTTTGATTGTGTAATATGTGACAGGGATGTAACTGTTTTGCCTTGAGTACAGAACGAAAAATACTGATTACTGGAAGTCAAGACGGAATTATAAGGTTGTGGAATCCAATAATCACTTCAAAATCTATCGGAACTTTAAGTGGACATAAAACTGCAATTGCAGATTTGAAAATGATGGATAAAGAAAACTTATTCATGAGTTGTTCTCATGATGGAGTAAGTCTCATCAGTTCTATTTATTTTGTTAGAAAAATGTATAGGATATATTAGTGTTTATGTACTACACGATCGAAAATAAAATGAATTAGAGTTGGCTACAAGACCGTCGTCTGTAGTGGTACAACTGAATATCACATCATTCTCTCCCATGAAAGGTCTCTCACCTCTTGGTGACAAAATTCAACAAGTTCAAAAAGATCCATGTTTCCCTATGTTAACACACATTGACACAAAGTGCGGGCAATTGTACCACCCAAAACTTGACAAACAAACTCATTTCGTTTTCGATTGTAGGTTATAATGTTCATTTAATAAATAGTGTTAGATATTATGATATTTTTTTTGTAGACGTTTAATTTGTGGGATATAAAACAACAAAAATGTATTCAAAGCTTTGTGATCAATTTTCCTTCTTTTGCTGTATTTGGGAAGTTAATAGAATGGGGAATCGAATGTATTTACCCTGGCCCGAAGCGCACATTGTGCAACGAGAATAACACAACTTTAGGTGTATGGCAAAGATCTCCAATATTAGTTGCATGTTGTAACCACATTGCCCTTATAAAACTAAAACATCCAGACAAAGAGATTTTAGATAATAATGAAACACAGGTTTTGCCTCCACCGCCTTTACAAAACAGTGTACTGATTCCCAAGATGTGGAATACTTCAGACAGTACAGAAGCAGTCAGGTAAAAAGTACTTTTTTTGGAATTAATACACGTATTATGTGATATAATTACTACTAGGTGTAACGAATTTAACCAACCTGACATGTCTATTATAGACAAGAGATTAAAAGAGTTGGAGTTTATACTTAAGAAAGATCTTTTTGAGGAAAATGGATCCAATAGGAGTGACATCAATTTCAAAATTGCTACTTTAGAACGTAAAAAATTAGAAGTAGGTGTATACTGCTTGGTTCAAGTAACATATCTATATATAACGCAAATAAAAAAAATGTTTTTTAGATGCAGCATCATGTAGCACGTGGTGCACCCTACTTAGCGTTGGATTTACACGAAGTTCATGAACTGCGCCTAACACCCGATCTTCCAGTACCTAATAAGAAGAAAATTAAACATATGGTTGAAAAAATTGAAACTATTTTGCAGGATGCTAGTTGCCGAGATTTGATTTTTTCGGAACCATCGACGAGTCGTTCGCCCAGATCTTCTAGAAGTAGTGTTATAGAATTTGATTATTGATACAATTGTATACAATTTTTTAAATAGCTTTACCAAATTACTATGAATGCCATTATGATTTACTTTAACTTTTACTATGCTTGTCAGAAATTTGAACCATTGTGGTAGTATGTACTTAACATGATCACTTTCTACTTCTATTTTTTTTAATTTCTTATTCAGTCATTGCATAAACTTCGAAAAATGTAAGTGTAATCAAAAACTTTGCAAGTGAATAAACAGAATTTTTCAAATCCGTTCTAAAAGTACTGTGCTTTAATAGCGAGGAAAGTTACGTAAGGTTTGGGAAATGGTGACCAAAATTCGCGCCTCGCCGATAAGGCCAGCTAGTGATCTTTAGGTCATTGGTATTTCTGGTGGAAATTTGTAGCACAAAATTCCCTACCGAAATGCCGCGCTTATTTTGGTGATGAACATGGTGTGTTTTGTTTCTTTTGTTTAGTGTGTAGGTCGTGTGGCGCGAAAATTTGGCGGGAACTCAAGAATTAATTTTTTGGCTCATATAACAACAAAATTGGTCATAATTGCATTTGAACTCAACTTAAAATTTTTCAATTCTGTTCATGTCGTTTCGAATTACGTAAACTGAGCCTTAAAATTCGTGCATAAAATTCCAGTTTTGAGGTTATTTGTAGGTTGTCAAGTTCGTCCGATCGTACGCGCTCAAAAGTAGTGCTGTGAGTGAGCAACAAAAAATGTGTACGGATTCGCGCGTAAATATCGAAAAATTTTTGGGATGCAACGTTGAATGTTAGCGAAGATAACACGCAACATACTATCAAAATTTTTACCGCAGTCGTATTGTTTTTAGTGATACCTGGTGTGGATTCCCGCCTTTTGTAGGCGTTGTCAAAGAGTTTAATGGTGGCGAACGTAGTTAATTTATTTTCGTCGTAGAGTGTTGTAATTGTTGTAAAACCATGGTGTTATCCTACGAGACAGACGCTGATTTGGAAGATAAACACACCGAACTTTGCAATAAATTAAACCTAGATTTTAAAATTTCCAATGACGCCTGGGATCGTTTTCAGTCCATAAGCAAGAACTTTACATTGGAGGTTGGTGATGGTCGCGTTATTCATAAATCTTGTCTTTATAAGGCTTTGTTTTTCAGGGAGAGCCCCTTCATTGGATAGGCTGTGCAATATATGTAGCTTGCTGGAAATCCACAGCTTCGACAGCAAATCAAAATACGGTTCAAAGTAATTGCGTTAATTTAACAAGTCTTTTGCGGCACTGTAATTTAAGGTAGGTGAATGGTACGCTTTTTATTATTTTAATGCGAGTGTATATAACGTTACAGCATAGCACAGTTCTTTTTCAAAATTAAACAATGGTCTGATATGGCAAATATGTCTGAAGAGTTTAAGAAACGGATAGAGTATTTAGAGGGAAGCTTTGCTGTTGCTTATAATGTGTTTAAAGAATATCAACCACTGTTCCTACTAATATTTAAAGCACCAGAAATTAGCGACGTCGAAGTAAATAAGCAACACAGAAATAGGAAACAGAAGTACGTAGTGTTATTTCATTTTGATGCACAAACTAGGTTTTTTAATTTAGGTCTGTGCCTTGTACCTCTCTGAAAGTTTTTGAGTTTTGTTGGACTCTATTTATTGCCATTAAAGGAGAAGACACAAATTATAACAATGATTTAGTCACTTCGTGCCATTTATTAATTGCGATTTGTGATTGGGCTTTCAAAAATGCATTTCTTGCTGACCGTAGGGATCTTCTGAACCCAGAGTTTCAAGGTATGTAATTTGTTTTTTTTTTTTTTCGGACTATGACTAGTGAATATGTTCCACAGGTTTGCCAGCTGAGTGGCCTATGTCCACGTATGTATTACCTGAAGAGGCTCCGTGTATTGTTAGTTTTTTATGCCCAAGTTCCAATATGATTACGGAAGTGAAATATATCAAAGAATATCAGTTTAAAAAATCGATTAAAAATCTTTTTGAGCAAGGCGTACTCTCAGGAAAAGATCCTGACAATGGTGATGTACTTGATTTTTCCGTTTTTGAACATAACTTCAAGAATATTACAAATACATATGAAACAAATTATTTGAGTAAGAGCGATTTCGATGAGAGAATATTTTTAGGTAAGCTATGATTTTGAACTGTCAAGTAGAATCATATGTTTTCATGACTGAGGGCAGCTGTTGTGAACAGCTGACTAATTGTATTACCTGAACAGATGGTCTTGACCTTGAATTTAACACCTGCTATTTACAGCTGAGTACAGAAGAAAATTAATAATCAGGGAACAGAACCAAAGTAATGCCCACAACTCCTCCATCCAGGACCAAAATGCAGGTAATTTCAAAAACAGAGTCATCTATAAAAACAAAAGAATTACAGTTTATAATTTTTCAGCAGGCGCTTCTAGTCCTGAGTTGTCTAAAGATATGGTTTGTAAAATATTAATTCTTTAGTAACGTTGCTTAATATAAAAGCTGCAGGTTGTTACTCAAGAATGTTTGACGCCTCTTACTGGAAGGAAGTATTTGGGGCCCAAAGAATCGCAGGAATCGACTCCTTTGGTCACAGCAACTGAGAGCATTTCAAGGCTTAATAGTCTGCTTCTTGGACGGCAACCAGCTCCCAGTGAAGCTTTGGTGCAATTGTTTGAGTGAGTACTTGCACAGAGCGTGAAATGAATAAACTGCAATTTTTCCCTTTGTAGGTCTTGTGTTCAAAATCCCACTGAAAGAATCAGTGAAATTGTCGCAAATCTGGGTGAAAGATTTGTAAATTCTTGTCCCACAGATCAGAGAGAAGTGGCTAAAAGAAGGCTGCAGTTTGGAATAACGTTGTTTTACAAGTTTATTGAAAATATTTTGCAAAATGAACGTTCAATGCATTCAGATATTTCTGTAATAAATAGCAGTGTTGGTTTTTTCGTATATTACATATTTGTTTTTTAGGCTATTGTTGAAAAAGATGTTTTTTATGAATGTATGTTTGCATGTTGTTTAGAAATTGTTATTTATTCATATAATAGTCGACAAAAGTTTCCTTGGATTTTGGAGGCGTTGCAAGTGCAGCCATATAATTTTGTGAAAGTGATAGAACTCATAATCCGTTCCAAGGATAAGCTATCCAGAGATACCATCAAACATCTAAATATGGTAAATATTTTTTTACAGAAAATTATTTAAAAAAATAACTTTCATCGTGACTTTGTTTTTGGCCGGTTTTTCTTTTTTGTAACAATCGCAATCTAAAATAAGCTGATGTAAAAGATCTTGAACATTTCAGATAGAAGAAATGATTTTATCTTCATTGGTGTGGAAATCTGATAGCTTAATCTGGGAAGCAGTTGCTTCTTCAGATAAAGAAGTTCCGAAGTTTGAAGAAACTGCGTTACCTGGCCATCTTCAAAATGAACCTAGTTCTGAAAGTTCCACGTTAAGAAATATTCTTAATTCTGAACCAAGTAATAGTAATTTTATGAAACAATACACTTTTTATAATGTGTTGTTTCAGGGCAAATTCAGTCACCTGGGCCTTCAGCGACGGACCGGTTTCAATCACCTGTAGCACATAGTAGTGCTGTAAATCGAGAATTGTTCCCGTCTGTACAATCAAATCAATCGTTGTTGCAACACACTCATTTAAGTAAGTATCATTGGCAAAACTAGTAAAAATTCGAAATATTGCAAAATAATTTTAATAATATTCAGCAACTATAATCAAAATATTTACTAAATACATTTTTCTACAACGACTTGTGGCTACTTTAGAATAAAAGTTGGTGTCATGTTTGGATAAACTTATCAACTGAAGTAATGAAAGTTCGGAGGCGTACGAACTTGTAAATAAATCGTCGTGCACACGTCTTAACGAGTTTTTTTGCACTGTTTTTTTAGAAAATTTGTAGGTTAAATTTAACGCTCTTACCTTTTTTATGGGGCTAATTGTGACTACAAATTAAGAAATTATATATTTGTTGAGGTCAGTCAAAATAGGTCAATGAAGTCTAAATAAACGTAGTATAGTTAATTTAAAAATAAGAAAATAACTTATTTTTATGGGGAAAGATAAGCAAAGCTTTTTTGATATTGCCAAACGCAGAATGTTAGTTAATTTTTAGCATAAATTTACAGAAATTTGCAAATTGCATAATTTTTACTTTATGTAGAGTTATTTAGCAGATATTTTCTTATAGTGGCTGAATTTAAATTTATTTTCAACTAAATTACTATTTGTTGCAGTTTGTTTTATGTTAATCATTTTTGGTATATCCAATATGTTTTATTTATAACTTTTGTTTGAAAATTAATATATTTATTGTTTCATAAGTGATCAAAGACCGTACTGGAAACACCAGAATGATTCCTATCGTTAACAATGACACTCAAAAAGTGCAGTCTCAAGTACCCCAGACAGGTCCAAAACGTTCAGAAAATACTGCCTTAGCAAGACCAAAAAGAACAGGAGGTGTATCGATAGTTTTCAGAAAGGTAAGTATTCAGAAGATTAATAGTACTATGGTAAGGTATTGTTTTATGGTCTGTGATATTGTTACTGATAAAAAAAGTAGAACATTTTTACTGCAAATAGTCGGCAAAAATTATATGAGAAAAAAACCGTTTCTTTTTCGTACTAAAATATCCGTATTTATTTTCCCGCTGCTGTTTCTAGAAATGTGCATTGTATTTGTGTTGAAACACTCAGTATCAGTCGTGAAAAAAATAGAGGTGAAATATACCGGCTGTCTGGAAAATGGCGGATTAACTGGTGAATCTCACATTTTGGTGGAATTATAAAGATTTTAAAACTGGTTCTTTTGCCACGTTTAACAACTAAATAACACATTCATTATCACAATAACTAGTAATAAAACTTTTAGTTAATATTTCTTTCGCCGATGACCATGTTTAATTACCATTTCAGTTAGAATATACAAAGATATGGTTGTGTTGTTTTTGTAATCATTTTATAAAATTATTATGTGTACAGGATGTTCATTTTATCTGTTCACGCCTGAATAGTTCTGCATAGGCAACCCATTTTACGTTTCACAAACAGCTTTGATTAGTTTTTGTTTTTAAATATTGAACGCATAGATAGCAATGATCAGAACCAAAATTATGACAAGTTATTTCTATCGCCCAAATATTTTCAATTTTCGTTTGCTTTAAAATGTTTTCGAATTCTGAAAAAACAGACATGCTATTGAGAAAGTGTGACAAAAATTTTCTTCGTCTCTACGCCAGGCAATATCCCAATAGAAGAATTCCCTCAAATTAAGCGTTTAGAAAACTTGAAAAAAATTATTACATATGTCAGGAAAAGCACTTCCAAGAAGTTTTCAAAGTTAATGTTTGGTGTGGAATTGTTGGTAACCACGTCATTGGTTCACATTTTTTTGAAGGAAATTTAAACAGACTTATGTATCTAAATTTTTTAAAGAATATTTTACCTGAACTGTTGGAAAACGTAGGGCTAGACATACCAAGAATAATTTGGTTTGAAAATGATGGTGCTACCGCTCATTATCAGAGAGACGTTAGGAACTATTAATACAGAGTGTTTGGACCAAGACTTATTGCTAGAGAAAAAGAGTACGCTTGGCCTGCACGGAGCCCTGATCCAAGGCCATTAGATTTTTTTCTTTAGGGGAAGGCGTCAGGCAGATCTATAACTCCCGACATGTTAGACAGAGTTCGTAGAAATTTTGAACGTAGCATAGGACTTTGTGAAGATAGTGGAGGCAGGCATTTTGAACATTTATTACAAATTCGTTTTCGTTGTAATCTGATCCATTAATAAACTGAGTATTAATTTTCTAAATTTTGTCATTATTTGGCATTGATATCTTTGTTATTTTTTTCTGTGATTGCTGTGATAGCTTATTAAAAAAAAATGTAAATTGGAGTCGCCTCTGGGGTGTATAATATGTTGCCTATGCAAAAATTGTCAGGCGTGAACAGATAAAATGAACACCCTGTATGTGGAAATCATTAAAACAATTTTGGGGATTTTGGTGTTCTATTTTTAGAAAATTCTGACCTACCTGTTATTGAGTTAATTTTGGGATCCAGTTTTTTTTTTTGAAATTTAAAACAACTTTGAGGTTCTAGGTATTTCTGTTTGGAAAGAATTTGAAAGGGTTTTGGAGCCTTTGGTGTCTTTTTTTTTTAATAATAATTTAATTAAATTTCTTAGAAGATACGTCATTTGTCAAAATCACTCTTGTCATAGCACGTATTAGCCCCGCCCACTCACCCTCTTTTTTCTTGAAAGATATGTCATTGCCAAAATCGGTTTTATTTTATTTAAGCATGTCTAGCCCCGCCCACCCGCCCTCTATTTTCTTAGCGAGTATATCATTTGCCAAAATCAGTCTTACCTTGGCGGGCACTAGCCTCAACCACCAACCCACCCTCTCGTTTCTTAGAGGGTGTCTCATTAGTCATTAGCCAAAATCAGTTTTATCTTAGCAAGTACTGATGACTAATTTTTACAAAAAATAATCAAAATTTGGAAACATTACGCGCTTATTTATATGCACAAGGCAGGAATTTTGAAGATCTTCTCTAGTGTTTCGTTGGTTATGCTTTAATGGATTTTTCTTTTGTTGGTTTTGTTTTTGTTTATAATTTATAAATGTCTTATTAAATGTTTTTTTTTTAGTTATTAATGAAAAATAACAGCTTGTTTTATTAATAATAATGCACAACGATTAATGACTACTGCTTGTTACAGTTATTGTCGTAAAAAAAATAAAAGGTGGATTTCAGTCACCATCGTTACTAAGAAAGTAAGCTGGAGGTATTTCCGCATTAGGTGCATGCAGTGTTGCCAATTTTACTTTTATAAAATTACGTTTTTTGCGTTATCTACATCATAAAGAATTTTTTTATTACTTTTTTGGGACTCCCGAAACCCCCGCCATTTTCCAGACACCCGGTATAGAATAATCTATTATATGTATATAAATATGCCGTATGCCGTATATGGTTCACTTCATTTTCAAATATTCTCAAGCCTGTGAAGTTAGAATATCATGCATTTCTTGTGTACTATTGAAACAAAAGAGAAAAAAATAGTATGTAGAGTGTAAATAATAGGGGAAGAATATATTGAGTTGTTACAACCTGTTACGTAGGTTTTAACTAGTGGGTATTATTTACCTTCTGAAATCAGAGCCCTTTGCGTTATACCACGAAAGAACCACAATAAATTCTAAGAGATTAAGTCAGTAATCCACAGAAATTCTCTACATACAGTTTGAATGAGCACTTATCTTATAAATGTTGTTCAATTTTACAAACATTATTCAACGGATACGTTTTGTGGAAGGACTTAAATTACGCCAACAAAACTTTAAAATATAGTGCCGACATTCCTATTTGTAACAAATTGTTATATTCTCTTAAATTCCAGGGTAAATAACTCTGGGGACCACTTCAGGATACACATAAATTTTTTACTACAACACTTCGCATTTTAAATATTTGTTTATATTATGTTTGTACTTTAGTTGCATACATTAAGTCACAGCCTAAATACATTCTTTTAAAGACGTAATTAAAAGAAAAGTTTCTACATCATTGCACAAAATGAGTAAGGTTCATAAAAATGAACATCTTTCCCAAGTGAATGCGTCAAGTTAAGAGCTTCCACAAAGATTTTATTGCTAAATTTTAAGTAACAGCTGTGTTAATTAAATTTCGGTTGCGAAAAGTAGAAAACGAACTAAAATTTCACTTTGTTAACTAGATACCTACTGCTCGTATATTTATTTACTTGGTTATTCTTTCAGTTTTATAATTTATCAGGAGAAAGAATGGAGCATTTGTGCACTCATTTAAAAATCACGAATATCGATACGAAGCGAAAAATTTGGACAGTTTTTGAAGAATTAGTCCGAAAAAACCATTGTGAATTGATGAAGGACCGAAATTTAGACCAACTTTTAATGTGTGCCGTATACATGATTTGCAAACTGACCAATTTAAATAAAAGCTTCGCCGAAATTATTAAAAGTTACAGAACTCAGCCACAGGCTACTAGCGATATCTATCGTAAAGTATTGATTCGTGCTAAAAAAACCAAAGTTGTGGGTAAGATTAGATTTTAGAATTTTACACGCAACTTTTTATCGTAATAATTATTTAACCAGATGGAGTTACGGAGGAAGTTCCAGAAGAACGTGGAGATTTGATACATTTCTATAACAATGTAATAATTCAAGCAATGAAGAAGTTCGCGCAAAAATTCGTGGATAACGGCGACGACCATGTAAGCAACTACACATTCCAACATTGCAAAAGAATATTGTTATATTTGTTTCAGAATGGTGATATTTTACTAAGTCCTTTACCAGCTTCCAGAGGACAAGTTGTTCAGGTCTATGATAATATCTTTATCAAACCTTTAGAAAGTCCGACGATGCCATTTGGTACAGGAAAAGTACTCAATTACTACTTTAGTCGTAGTCCTTCGAAAGATTTGAAGGACATTAATAAAGCTATTAAAGGGAACGGTGTCACAGGAAAAAGACTCTTAGTCGAAGGTGAAAATGAATTGCCGAATACGAAAAGAATCGCCAATAGAAAAGTTCAGTCTTTGATTGAGGAAAGACGAAGTCAAAATACTGAATGAATTTTCAGTTAGATTTTAGCATTAAGTATGTATAGAACTTAATTTTATGGTAATCCAAGTAATTTTAATTTTAAACTCTGATTATGACTGTTCGATTTGATTGACCTGTATTTCAATTCTTAATTGGAAAGTTTCTGAACTATGACTATTGTGATCTCATAAGTTATTTCTTTTTCAATTGTGTAGCAAAAAGTAGTGAAAATCATGTTCTAGGGATTATTTATTTCCGGTTTTGTCATTTTAAAAGTTTTTATTAAAAAAGTTCTCGTTGAAATTTTACTGTGTCCTGTCTATTTTATTAAACAGAAGATACATCTTTATTAGGTCGGAGGGGCAATTAATTCTTTGTACGAATAACTCTACATCTTTTTAAATAAATTTATTAGATTTTATTGCTCTTTGACTCTTCTTTCCGTTTGTTTAGTAGAATTGATGATGAAGTGTACTTGTTAATAACTTTTGTAACAAAAACATAGTGATAACTTGGTTTTCAGAAATATTGATTCTATTTTTCTTTTTTATTTCCCGTAACGAGCATTGTGTAGAATAAAATAACATAATTGTTTTAATTTACTAATACTAGACTTAGAACTAACAACTTGTTTTTCATTGATCATATAAATGGGGACAGATTATTTTATTCATATTTTTTTGTAAATAGTTTCCCCTAGAGGTGCGATTGTGCAAGAGGTGTTGTGTAGTGTAGAAACGTTTTTACAATTAAATTTTCGTCGTGCACTTTTCTAGATTGGACATCAGACTCTCCTGGGTATGAGAGGACTATGAAGAACGAGTAATGAAGGGTACTTGCAACGCACCAGCGCTGATTCGGTACTATATAGTGACATCAAAGATGTTTCTTAAAAAAAAAAGCCAACATTTTTGTATGTTTGAGCCGTATAAAACTGACTTTCCGTAATCTGTGCACTTACAATGTTATAGGCAACCCTCTATTGTCGTAAGCGTTAGGTGGTTTATCTATATTATTTCGAAATCCATTATGAACAATATTTTTACGATTTCCAGGACACTTTGTTAAACATTTTTCACATTTATTTATATGTATAAAATGAGACTCTCGTTTCCGCTTATTTGTTTTCGGTCGCCTGTTGGCGATTTTATTATACTAACTCTTTGAAACTAGTGAACTTACGGTAAGTAGATGATTAAGTTCTAACCAAAATTTGGTAGGAAATTCCCACCCATAATCTAATTACGTCACCCGAAAATTTTGCTCGATAAATCCTATCTACAACGTAGAAAATATCATGGGTTAACACTTGCATATTTTTCATAATTCAGGATGTCTTAAAAAAATTAGAATGAAGCTGTAAACTAACTAAATATTGTCATGACAAAATCTCATTCAGAAAAGCTAATTCAATGGTTGATTCACAGTGAAATTTTAACTAATAATAGAAAAACAAATCTCGGAAACAAACTAAGGAAGTATTGTAATAGGGTCCATTCAGCGAACGGCTAGGTAAAGTAGCCGTCAAGATATACTGAATGCTGCCTGGAGCGCGGTCTTGCTGCCACTCACTGAAGTCATTAGGATGGTTGTAATTTTTATTACTCTCCACTTGTGGGCCCAAATTTATGGCATCTATTGTGGTTAGGGTTTTATTGAGCGCTTGAGGCGTTCAGCTTATTGTGACGGCTACTTTATAGTCTTCGACAAACTCTAACGTTATATGGTGAAGTTTCATCGTTATGGAGTCAAATATTTCGACAAAGGTCATAATGGGGGTAATATAAACCCGATCGCATAATACCTCGATTATTACCTTCTTTGTTGAGGTATTTGACGCCATAACAATGGGACCCTTCCACATAACGTTAGAGCCCGTGGACAACTATATTTTCATGTTTTCTCGACGTTTTATCACCCCTAGAAAATGAAAAAATAGGTTTTGAATTTGTGTCTGTCGACAGTAACTATCGAAGTTTGTTAGACAGATAATCTCCGAAAGTACCTGCAAATTTTGCCGTATGTTAGGAATATCATGTGGATATTTGTTCTATTCTTCCTACCAACAATTTGATCACATCATCTCAAAATTTTGCGGGGTAAATGCTGTTTAAATTTTATAAAATAACATACTTGTTAAAATAAAATTACGTGCTCGTAGTTTATGAATTCGCCTTGAGTTTTTACCTTTGGAGTCCAGATAACAAATTAATAAAAATGGTATGATAACGTCTAATGACTGGTCATAGCTCAGTACATTAAAGTGCGTCATAATAACATGACAGTCGTAGGTTTGATCCCTTCATGGGCCACTTTTTTTCTTACATTGTGGATGGTATTATCTATATTTTTATTTCCCGAACGTAAGCTAATACATGACCCTTAGATAAGGAAAAATAGGTCTCCCTTTCTGCCTATCATCTGTGTCGATTATTATTAGACAGATAAACATACTCCTACACTTGAGGTTTATGAATCTGTATTGAGGCATTGCGATTTTTGGAAAAATTTTTCTGAACATATCGTACCTAAAATATATAAAATGCTATATGAGTCGACACTTGATTTATCACTACAGTCATAGTTTTTAGAATTTCATATCAGCCAAAAAAATCAACGGCTTTTTCCCGAAATTTTAAAAATACAGTCTTGTAGTTATCGGTATTACACTGCACCTAGCCGAATTAAAAGTTGATAACATCATCACAAAATTTTTTATGACAAACTTGAAACTACGCATAGGATGCTTTTTTACTTGTATTTTAATAGTCCACATACACAGAGTGATTCAGAGGACTACTGCATCATCTTAATGGCGAAATCTAGAGCAAAAAATACGTAAATAATTGTAATGATAGGATAGTCAATAGTTTAAAATATGGTTATCAGAGGTTTTTAAAATTTTCGCGAATGATCAGAATTACTGTCTACGTGGTTAATTATTAGAAAATAATTCTTATTTTAACACATTAGTAATCGATTTTTAGAAATAGGTAATAATGACATTTCTAAGGAGAAAGCAAATTTAAAAATTCTGTACCTTCGAAATTTTTGTGAAATTGTCATAGTTTACCTAGAAGTTTTTACTTACTTTTTTGCTATATAATTCGTCATTAAAATTATGCAGTAGTGCTCTGAACCACGCTGTGTATATTCATTTTAACTTATAGGAGTTGTCACAAAAACAATATGACTCTTAAAATCAAATTTTATCATTTTTGTAAGGAAAAATATTATTGATTGTATTTCAACAATTTTAGACCAACTTTTATTTAGCAGAGAATGTGTTAGTAAAATGCTGGTATTTAATTAACCACAGCCTGTATTATAACTTATTTCTAAATGTATACCTACATAGCTCCTATATAATTAAAAAATATGACATTGTTTAAAACTTGGTAAATAATAAGTTATAAACTACCGGACACGCAACTGTTACAGTTTTTGCTACCAATGAAAAAGTCACCATTAAGCGTTATCTGTGTAACACACGAAGGGGTTCCAGGGTGTCTAGGGACCTGGATTCCCCCACTGAAAAATCTGACACTGGTTATACGCAACTTATTTTTTTAAAACACTTTCGGAACTTTTTTCTATTAGTTGTGCGCCTTCTCAAAAAAGTTGCAAGTTTGTGTCTCTAGTGTGCCATTATGTATCCCTAGTTACACAAATAACCATTTTAAAATACAGACTGTGCGAAAAAAATGTATAAACCTCTTCAGAAGCGACATCTCTTTCACTATTTGCTTATTTAATTTAGCTTTTCTTAAGACAATATTATCACGTCAAATATTTACAACAGAATTAAAGTCATTACCCAGTCAGTCCGTGTCGCAGCGTCGTCTCATCCGTCGCCTTTCCTTATTTAATTCGATAATTTCTTTTTCACTGTACTGGGGTAGTTTTGCTTTTATTTGCCCGACTGCGCATGCGCACGCGACTGGCGCGCCCTAAACGCGCCGAGCACCTGTTACATTCTTCATTGTTCAACGAGAAGCCGGCCGGCATTTAGTGCATAACGGTTGTATCATCGCGAGTGCTCCAATAGAACGTACACCATGTCTGAACAAGCTGAAGCCGCCCCCGCCGCCACCCAAGAGGAGCAAAAGACCGAAGTCGCCCCCGAGGAAAACAAAGACGTCAAGGAAAACGGAACCGGCGAAGCCGAACCTGTTGCTGAACAGGAAAAAGAAGCCCCCAAAGAGATGAGGGCTGTCGTCCTCACCGGCTTTGGAGGGCTGAAATCCGTTAAAATACTTAAAAAACCCGAGCCCACGGTCAACGAGGGGGAGGTTTTGATTCGGGTCAAGGCATGGTGAGGTTTTTTTTTTACTTTTTACGTTAATGAGCTTTTTGCGTTGCTATTGACAGTAAAATTGATTTTTGAATTTAAACCGGCGAATGCGGTAGAGGAGCGTTTAGAATTTATGTAGTACTCACTTAATTAACTGTTTATAGCACTTGTTCTGTAAAAAAGAGAGTAAATATTTGTTGGTTTTTATAGTCCAGTCAGAGAATTTGCGTTTCTGGTTAACTTAATACATTTTTATTGCACTTTTTCTTCTGAAAAAAAAACGTAAATATTTGTCAATTTTTACAGCTAGGTCTGCAAAGGTTTCGACGGATTATTCAATTCGCAATTGATTGGTACTATAATCTAAAAGTATGTTATTATTGTAAACAATATGAATGAATATTAGTTTGTTTGAAGACTATTCAATCTGTATTTGCAGGCTGTTGCGTTTATTAAAATATATGCGTTTTAGGAAAAATCAGAGATATGGTCTTCCGTTTGATTACAACTTAATTTGTTCGTGATGGGAATGTTTAACATTATTAGTGTATTAGTAACATTAATTAATATATATGCGGAATGAGTTAAAGATCTCAAAAGTAATCTTACAAAATTTGGAATCTATAGGATGCATTTGTTAATAATTAACATCCTTGAGTTTTTTAAATCCCAAAGAATATCCATAAGGATCTAAAATTAATCCTTAGAAAATAATATGCACTTTGAGTTAATGTATGTCTTTAATAGCCTTTTCTTTACTAAATACTTATTATATTTCGTTGATTGATTTATAGTGGCTTAAAAGAACTAGCTCTATAAGGCTCCGCAAAAAATAATAAATAGGTGTCATTAAAAAAAAAAGTTGGATGCCGTAGACGAACAAACAAAACCCATTTACGAGGTGTCAAATTAATATATAGGGTGTCGTTTAGTTTGTTACACTGGTTACTGGTAGTATCTATATTTGTATTTTTAATTTGAAATTTTTGGAAATCTTGTTAAGACACTAATATTAATATAAAGAATCTTGTTAAAAAAAAGTAAAAAAAAAATTGCCAGGTTTACATCTCTAGTTGCTAATTCTTTATGCATTATTCAGCACACAACTGGTACAATTAGCTGTAGCTGTACGTTATTACAGTAGGCAGCGTTAATAATGAATTCGTTTTAAAACACGCAGTTTATGTGAAGAATGTTGATGTAATTGAAACAATTAGAAGAAAACCAAGAATCCTCTTCATTATCTTTGGGTGAGCCCGACAAGTTAATTATCCAGGAAGAGACAACATAAAAAGTACTCTTAAATTTTTGTGGTTAAAAAGATGGGTGCCGTCAGTAAATTTAATGTTTACAATAAAACAAATAAAATATATATCGTATAAACTAAACTCACTACAAAGTTTAATGAACCTTTTTATTATCACTCATCTTTAAATTTTTTTCAGTAGACAAAAACATGCAAGTTCAGTAAGTGGTTAGCATGTGTTTCTCGTCGCTTTAGTACTTAATTAACATTTCCTCAGACATGCATTTTCATGTACCCGCTTATTTGGTTTCTGCTAATTTTTGTTGCTCTTTACGATTATTGGTGTTATTTGAAGAATGAAGCAATGTAAATTAAACGTCTAGAAACTGGTGGGAAAATTTAAAATATTTTGTTTGTATTGACCCTTACTCTTGCTTGAGTAGTAAAGATAATAATAAGTATCAGTTTTCTTTCGTCGCAGTCCTTGTCTAAAATTATATTTGCGTAAATTTGAAGCTTTGTTATAATGTCTTACCAAAATAATTTGGTTTTAATGTAAAACCAAATTATATATATAAAATATAATTATAAACGGTCGTTATGCTTGTATGCCAAATATTACATAAAATTTCTTGTAAAGTAATTGTGATAAAAATCAAAACGGATTCACAAACCCCAAGTACAAGAGTATGTTATTTTATACACTTTAAATAGTATTTATAAGTTTTGGAAACTTCATTCTACCCTATAAAATTTTATTGACAATAACGAGGTGGTCAGTAGTACAATGGTAAGAAATATTTATGGCTCACACCAGTTCACCCGAATTTGTCGGAGAACATTTAGCAGGTAGTTGTACTCATAAAATAATGTTCATTTGGATTATTCTGCTTTCTAACATCTGGGGATTACCGGCACGCGACAACTTCAAGTTGTAAATATCTCTTGCTATTGTACTACTGTCCGTCTCATTATTGCCAATAAAATTTTATAGGGTAGAAAGGAATTTCCAAAGGTTTTTTTTTTATATTATGAAATATTTTGACATTGTTGGTGAGGATAATTAGACAAAGTCTGATTGTTATTTTATTTTGCTATTTATACGATATTCCTAACATAGTATAAAATTTGACAACAATGGGCGCGGACAGACGGGAACGGGAAACCTATACGTCGAGAAACATGAAAGTAACCATTCCTCGGATAGACCTTATTAGTTATTACAATACTTCTTTATCTTACGCTCAGGAATGACGTTGATGTTTAAACGTAAAATTTAAATCCTTTAAATTATATATCTTTTGAAGATATTTTGGGTTTCAAAATCATATTTCAGCAGTGGAATTGCACTAGACCACAGATTTTTTTATTGATATTATCTTCATCGATTTTCACTACATTCCTAAATAGAAAACATTATCTGGAACTGATAAGCCAATCAATGTCTTATCTTTCGATTAGTAAATTTTCTATTCCTCGAACAGCGAGTCTTCTTATAAAAAGCTTTCAGCTTGGGATATTTGGAAGTGTTGATGTTATCATTGTTAGATAACAGTTTTAAACTTTACCGTGAAGTACACACTGTTAGTACGTCATTTTTCATTATTTTCCAGCAGTAATTAACAACACAGTTGAGTTTAGAATATTCTAATTGGTAAAACACTCTTTCGTGTTTCATCGCATTGTGCTTATCAGTCGTACGATGCCAAACTTCAGAAAATATTTTAGTTAACACTGGTATATGCTGCCACTGGGTATTGACATGTTGCACCTGGCAACAGCTGCAAATTTAACTGTGGAAAGAACAATTTTAAATATTTGTCCTGTCGCCATTGGTTTAAGGGTTGTAAAGGCCTATACGCAGCATCAGATTGAATAGAAAAGATACATCACTCAAAGTGAATCATAAAGTTTTTGTAAAGAAATATCTGCGGATATTGGGGTGCCATTATAAAGAACATCAATAAATTTGCTTTATATTGCTAGTGAATAAGAAACAGGAAAAAGCCATCGAAGTATGTGATTTGAACAGTCCAATAGAAAGATCATTTTTACTTAAAAAAATTCTAATTTAGGATGATCTAATCAAAATTTTAACAGCGAATATTAGATACTGTTGTAACGAGAGCATTAAATAGACTTGTAACATGCATCAACATGCAATGTAGACATATCGATCTAAAAATTGCCTGATGAAATATATACTTTCGTCTGTAAAAGAAAAAAAAATTGGGTGGGGTCATATTTAGCACGTTAGTTGATAAAGAGTTAACATGCATTGCATTTTATCGATTGCATAAATTTGGCAGAATTATTTTCTTTCTAGTTGCTGTTTGAGTAATCCACAGGGTCAGTTTTAGGAATTGAAAATCAGTTGAAGGGAATGAAATTTAATCAGGGACGTTCAAAAAGTAGTGAGGAGGTATAAATCTATAAATAAAGTTTGAACTACTAAACCTTTAAAGAGACTTCTGATAAATTTTACTACTGGAAAAACGACTGGATGTGGTTACACCCGCAGCCGACCGTTAGATAACGATATACAACTTTGTGACAAAAAAGTTTAAATATTTCTAAGAAACTTGAAAAAAAGTTCTTTGTTCACTCGTAGAACAGGACTCCAAGAAGGTTAAATGAAAGCCTCGCATCCTTGTTTTTGTACGCCTTTGCACAGAAGTAGGTACACATGAGTGAAATTATTTTTGTAACTTTGTAACACTTCCATGACGTTATTTGGTCAACAAATTTTGAAGAACTGAAATTGGTCGTTCTTGAAATAACAGAAAAAGTTAAACGGACTGTTATTTTTAGACGCCTTTGTAAGCAGTCAAAAAGGTAAAGTATAGTTAAAATTTTTGATGTTCTAATCGATCACTAAGATAATATTAGGTACCACACATTTTAGACTAGTTTTTGGGATAGATTCTAAAATGTAATTCTGGAACTAAACATTAAAATAAAAGTAGGGATGAATTATTATTATTAAATCACAGGTAAAGGAACATGCTTTGCTACATGTTTCAGGCGGAATTTTGTTATAACAAAATTTTGTGGTGACGTCATCAACTTATAATGGGGACAAACATATTAGATATGACACATACTTACAGTGTAACTAATAACAACAGCCTCATGTTCTCAGAATTTCGGAAAAATTAGATGTCACTTTTGGTGTAATCAATAAATAAATTGTTTAATTAATTCTTTGGGTCCTCCTGTTCATGCAGTCGTAAACGTACACAGAGTACATATTATTAAATAAATATTTACTTAATAAATTGTTGAAATGCCGTCATCAACTTTGTAAAGGGAATGAACAAGTAAATTGGTTATTGGTGGGATCACGCCACCGACTTTTTGGTAATTATTTTACCATCGACACAACATTCCAAAAGTAGACTTGAAATCTCGCAATAATCAGTTCAATAGTTTGAAATTATGTACATAACAAAATAGACGGGTGGAAACGGGAGACCGACGTTTCCGAATTCTACGAGTTGTAGACACCGAAGAGACATGAATTGTATCAAAATGACAATTGTATTACAGACACAATAACTCCTCATCTCGGGAAATAAAAATCCACTGCTTGTGAGGAATTTGAACCGTGACGGCACAGAGAGCATCCAATTGCGCAAGTTTTTGTGGATCTATTTCCCAGAAAATGTATCTTGCATGAATCATCTGATTAACATCCGTTTTTGCATCAAAATACAAAGGCACCGGTGCGTAAAATTTATAACGATTTATTATATTCAGAAATTTTCCTCATGAC